TACCCACTAATCATAAAGTGCTTGATTTACAGCGAGAGGTAAAGCAGGAGAGGGGAAGAGGGGACCCATGAGGAATATGGGCTTACATCTCATCGATACTCCTCTTTTATTATATTAATCGTGCCACTGTCCCCATGTTCGGTTAAATTTATCCAACATACCCATGATTTTATGTGCCATTTCCTCATATTTTTTTGTTCGGTTTATTTTGTCTGTAACTAACATGATATCAGGTTTACTCTGTGATTTCCAAAGTCCTGCTATGCAAGTCTTTGCTGCCAATTGCACATGCACAGCTAACGTAACAGCGTGCTTCGGGAAAGTATTGGGAATCATATGTAGCAAATAAATCTCTGGACGAAGAGGAAGCGATAAAGACGTAGCGTGTATTATAAACGCCTGTACCTGCTGCCGAAAGTTTGTTAAAACTAGGCATTGCCAAAAGGTATGAATTAAAGTGCCTATCTCCTTACCACATCGCCAGCAAATAGGGGGAACTCCAGGGTAAATATGGGCTAGGCATTGAGGCGTAAGATACCACCTCATCCACAATTTATAGGCTGAGTCGATATGGTCTAAACAATGGGTGGCCATTTGCACCCCCCACCATTACCGCATACCATATGCTTGGTTCTATCTTACTACCAAGTTCTTTTTCCCACTTTTCTGTGTAACCGAATTTAAGAGGTCGGCTAACTGTCAATATCTTTTTGTAACATAAGGACAAGTGCCTCGTTAAAACACCAACTCCTAGACACAATTTATCAATATCCTGAAGCTTATTTAACTCCACTCCTGCAAATTTATCCTTCTTTTCGAATATGTTTTATTCGAAGGTATGTAAACAATTCTTTGCTTGGCAATGCATAAGTAGACAGCAGTGTGACGAACTACCCTTCGCCACTGGCTTCTAGAGGGGCCTGATTGCCAGCCTCCTGCCCCAAGAGTATGGGCCCTGCAAAAAGACATGCTAAAAAGTCACTTCCATGGGAAATGTGCCTCTTCCCCTACCCGTTTTTCCTGTCCTATTGTTCTCCAGCAGGTCGTTGTCCCAGGGACACTACCAGACCAGTTGAAACTGGCTGCTTTGTCCCTCCTCAATCTCTCATCAGCCCTTGCTTTTGTCTGACCCCACCCTTCCTTGTACTATAGGGCACTTTTAACATTGGACATATTGAAGCGCTCAGATCCAAGCTATCTGGGAATATGTTGGACATATAGGTTAAACATTGTATTTTAAGAGTTATGTATTTTTATGTGGTTTTTGTAACAGTTTTTGGACTTAGAGATATTTCCTGTACCTGGAGATAATTGGCTTACCAAAACTACTTAAGCCAATTATCTGCAGAACAGAGGAGAAGATAGACCGGCCGCACAGCCTAAATCTGTGGAACTATTTTGGGCATGAAAGCCATGCTTGCGGTTAGTCAAATGTGACTTCCATAAAACTTTTGAACCCCTGCTCTGAACTGGATGATTTTTGGATATGTTGTTCACCCAGATCAGGGCTATCCAGGGATGTAGGATATGTTGTTGTTTTGGGGTGTTTCTGGACTTTGGGTAAAACTGGATATTTTCTGCCTGTGGTAACGGAGTTAGTCCATTGTCTTTGTTAATTGTATCACAGGCAAAGGGGAGGGTTTGTGTACATTAGCTGGGAGTATCTAACTGTACAATACTGCTTTGATTGGCTGTTGTGACTCCACAAGGTCCACGTGGGTGGTAACCTTGCGGGGAAAACTGTATATAAGAAATGCTTTTGTGCTGATTAAAGCAATTCTACTTGACCCTCCATTCGCAGCCTCAACTCGTGTTTGGAGGGGACAGCTATATGCTTGGTTCTATCTTACTACCAAGTTCTTTTTCCCACTTTTCTGTGTAACCGAATTTAAGAGGTCGGCTAACTGTCAATATCTTTTTGTAACATAAGGATTGCTATGCTCTTCATACTCCCTTAGATTCACTGAGCTCTTATAAGAGCTTGTTCCTGTTCCTGCTTCGCTCTCTGAGAGGAAGAGAGGTTCACCCACTGGAACCTGGAGCCTTGTCGAAGGTCCAGGGTGGGTAGGAGACAGCAAGACCCTAACCAAGCTGCGGCGGTTCGTGGGGTCTGCGGTGGTTATAGTGTCCGGTGCAGAGCTGATGGTCCTTGGTGAGCGCTAGGATCATCCTTCTATGGTCCAAACCTCAGCTAGCCTGGGGCAACTGTAACATGCAGGTCTGAAAATTGTTGGATCCTAGTATTTGTATTACTCTTTTTACAGTTGCAAGAAAAAGTATGTAAACCCTTTGGAATGATATGGATTTCTGCACAAATTGGTCATAAAATGTGATCTGATCATCATCTAAGTCACAACAATAGACAATCACAGTCTTCTTAAATTAATAGCACACAAAGAATGAAATGTTGCCATGTTTTTATTGAACACCTCATGTAAACATTCACAGTGCAGGTGGAAAAAGTATGTGAACCCTTGGATTTAATAACTGGTTGAACCTCCTTTGGCAGCAATAACTTCAACCAAATGTTTCCTGTAGTTGCAGATCAGACGTGCACAATGGGCTGGAGTAATTCTTGACCATTCCTCTTTACAGAACTGTTTCAGTTCAGCAATATTCTTGGGATGTCTGGTGTGAATCGCTTTCTTGAGGTCATGCCCCAGCATCTCAATCGGGTTGAGGTCAGGACTCTGACTGGGCCACTTCAGAAGGCATATTTTCTACTGTTTAAGCCATTCTGTTGTTGATTTAATTTTACATTTACTATGCTTTGGGTCATTGTCCTGTTGCAACACCCATCTTCTGTTGAGCTTCAGCTGGTAGACAGATGGCCTTAAGTTCTCCTGCAAAATGTCTTGATAAACTTGGGAATTAATTTTTCCTTCCATGATAGCAATCCATCCAGGCCCTGACGCAGCAAAGCAGCCCCAAACAATGATGCCCCTACCACAATACTTCACAGTTAGGATGAGGTTTTGATGTTGGTGTGCCTTTTTTTCGCCACACATAGTGTTGTATGTTTCTTCCAAACAACTCAACTTTGGTTTCATCTGTCCACAGAATATTTTGCCAGGTGCTCTTGTGCAAACTGTAAACGTGCAGCAATGTTTTGTCTGGACAGCAGTGGCTTCCTCTGTGGTATCCTCCCATGAAATCCATTCTTGTTTAGTGTTTTATGTATTGTAGATTTGCTAACAGGGATGTTAGCATTTGCCAGTGACTTTTGTAAGTCTTTAGCTGACACTCTAGGATTCTTCATCACCTCATTGAGCAGTCTGCGCTGTGCTCTTGCAGTCATCTTTACAGGACGTCCACTCCTAGGGAGAGTAGCAGCAGTGCTGAACTTTCTCCATTTATAGACAATTTGTCTTACCGTGTGTAACGGAGCTCCCTGTACTCCGACTGAGTACCCTCCGTTGATGGATGCTCCAAGCGCTTCCTGAGGACTCCAAACACTGCAGCAGACACCACAACCACCGCAGACTCCACAACCGCCGTAGCTTAACTGGAGTTTCGCCGTCTTCCTTCCACCCTGGATCAGCTTCTGTCCTCCAGGACCGTGTGGGGAAGACCTCTCCTCCAGGAGAGCGTAACAGGAACAGCTCTTAAAAGAGCTAAGTGATTAAAAGCTCAGGGGAGTATGCAGAGCATAGCAATCCCCAGTGTGATATAGCAGTTCCCTCCAATAACGAGACAAGGCTACGTATTGAGGGTCAAGAAGATCTGTTTACTTGGCACCAAAGGGCCTTCTTTTATGCAGGTTTCCCTGAGATAGGACCACCCACAGGGGTTTACAGAATAACCAATCATAAACGTACATTACAGAAACACTCCCAGCAATTACACACAAAAATCCTCCCCTCTGCCTGTGATCTAATTATGGCACACAATGGGTTAACATAATTAAACACAGGCAGTAAAAATACAGTTTTTATACATGTACTATAACTTCCAAACTACACATCCAATCTTCATAAAAATTACATATTTGGAATCAATCCATTAAGGGGAGCAACATATTAAAAAATGGCACAAATCAGACAAGGGGTTCAAAAGTTAGCAAAAGTGTCTTTTGGGGCCTGGCTGGCAGCATGGTTTTCTGGCCCAAACCGGTTTTACAGAGGCCTCTATCCTGGACAATGGGGAAAGTAATCCAATTATCCAGGGATAGAGGCAGACTCCATTAACCACATGTTAGCAAAAGACACAAAAATACATAACTCCTATTGAACTGAACAGAACCCCCACATTCAACCTATCCCCAGATGGCTTGGATCTGAGCGCTCAATATATCCAAACAGCGCTCAGATCCCACAAATACAGTCAAATCGCCATACACACTAGGTCCATAGTCATGGGGCAGAAGGCTGGCAATTAGGCTTCTCCATAACACAGGGAAGCAGGGCAATTTGTCAAATAAAATAACAGTTACAAATGGCAGTTTGTAACATATCTCCCCTTTTGGAGGGAGACTAACCAGGCACCTGACCTCCTGTCGGTCAGTGCCTAAGTTAGTCTCGCAGCCCACCCACAAATAACAAGTAGCAAAGTAGCCCCCACAATAAACAGTACTGGCCTGTAGGTTCCAGGTGTAGGATGAAAATGCAGCATCCTCTGCCTTCCTGGTGCAGCTGGGCAAATAGCTGGTGGTACTTGGGGGGCAGAGGCCAGCGGCGCTCTGCCCTGATGCCCGCACTTCTGCTGGGGAGAGGGGGTTGCAGACCAGTCCTGTAACAAGGGGGTCGGTAGGGCAGAGGCCAGCGGCGCTCTGCCCTGATGTCAGCTCTTCCGCTGGGGTAGCCGGCAGAATGTCACGCTCTGTACAAGGGACACAGGGAGGGCAGAGGCCGACTGCACTCTGCCCAGCTGCCAGATCTTCCGCTGGTATAGCCTGCAGGACATCAGGCTCTGGACAAGGGACAAAGGGAGGGCAGAGGCCGACTGCACTCTGCCCAGCTGCCAGCTCTTCCGCTGGGGGGCTTGGGACATAGTCCGGCTCAGTAGCCAGGGGAACGTGGGGGTCAGTGGGGGTTAACATCTCCACTGTTAACCCTGGGGCCAAGTTAGGAGTTAGCTGGGGAGGGGAATTCGTACTTACCCCCTCCTCCTGTTGTCCCTGTGAGGGTAGTTGGGGATCTGGACAGGCTGTCCAGCATCCCTGCAGGTCGGGCACAGAGACCACGGTCCCCTCTGCGCCATCTGGGAGATTGGTGTCTCCCCTTGGTAGGGTAAGCTGCCGCTGGGGAGATAGGGTGCTGTGCTCCTCTCCCTGAAACACAGGCTGCCGCTGGAGAGGGAGACCGCCTGTCTCCACTCCCATAACATTGTCCTGCTGCTGGAGAGAGAGACCAACTGTCTCTGCTCCCTGTAGGACACACTGCTGCTGGGGGGGAAGGACGACACCTTCGGCCCCCTGGAATTCACACTGCCGCTGGGGAGGAAGGACACCTTCGGCTCCCTGTAATTCACACTGCTGCTGGGGAGGAAGGACGACACCTTCGGCTCCCTGTAACTTGCACTGCCGCTGGGGAGGAAGGACGACACCTTCGGCTCCCTGTAACTTGCACTGCCGCTGGAGACTAGGTGTCCATATCCTCAACCTCCACAGTTGTCGCTCAAAGGCCATTGCCGCACTGTTCTCAGCACTCAACTGGCGCATTACTTGGTGGACCACCTCGTTCGAAAGGTCTGGGCCATAGCAGACCAACCGCCTCTTTACCTCCTCAATGTAAGCGTCGTCCTCGTAGCGACGTATCATGTTGAGGTGCTCTTCGCAGGGCTCTATCCATCCCTGCTCCATGCTGCTGTAGTTAGGGACGCTGCACAGTGGCTAGCGTTGCCCTCAATAACCTCTCATACGATACCAGTGTCTCCGAGCTGCTTCTCCTCGCACTAGGACGCCATCCCACCGCTGCCACCAATGTAACGGAGCTCCCTGTACTCCGACTGAGTACCCTCCGTTGATGGATGCTCCTAGCGCTTCCTGAGGACTCCAAACACTGCAGCAGACACCACAACCACCGCAGACTCCACAACCGCTGTAGCTTAACTGGAGTCTCGCCGTCTTCCTTCCACCCTGGATCAGCTACTGTCCTCCAGGACCGTGTGGGGAAGACCTCTCCTCCAGGAGAGCGTAACAGGAACAGCTCTTAAAAGAGCTAAGTGATTAAAAGCTCAGGGGAGTATGCAGAGCATAGCAATCCCCAGTGTGATATAGCAGTTCCCTCCAATAACGAGACAAGGCTACGTATTGAGGGTCAAGAAGATCTGTTTACTTGGCACCAAAGGGCCTTCTTTTATGCAGGTTTCCCTGAGATAGGACCACCCACAGGGGTTTACAGAATAACCAATCATAAACGTACATTACAGAAACACTCCCAGCAATTACACACAAAAATCCTCCCCTCTGCCTGTGATCTAATTATGGCACACAATGGGTTAACATAATTAAACACAGGCAGTAAAAATACAGTTTTTATACATGTACTATAACTTCCAAACTACACATCCAATCTTCATAAAAATTACATATTTGGAATCAATCCATTAAGGGGAGCAACATATTAAAAATGGCACAAATCAGACAAGGGGTTCAAAAGTTAGCAAAAGTGTCTTTTGGGGCCTGGCTGGCAGCATGGTTTTCTGGCCCAAACCGGTTTTACAGAGGCCTCTATCCTGGACAATGGGGAAAGTAATCCAATTATCCAGGGATAGAGGCAGACTCCATTAACCACATGTTAGCAAAAGACACAAAAAGACACAAAAATACATAACTCCTATTGAACTGAACAGAACCCCCACATTCAACCTATCCCCAGATGGCTTGGATCTGAGCGCTCAATATATCCAAACAGCGCTCAGATCCCACAAATACAGTCAAATCGCCATACACACTAGGTCCATAGTCATGGGGTAGAAGGCTGGCAATTAGGCTTCTCCATAACACAGGGAAGCAGGACAATTTGTCAAATAAAATAACAGTTACAAATGGCAGTTTGTAACACCGTGGACTGATGAACAGCAAGGCTTTTGGACATACTTTTATAACCCTTTCCAGCTTTATGCAAGTCAACAATTCTTAATCGTAGGTCTTCTGAGAGCTCTTCTGTGCGAGGCATCATTCACATCAGGCAATACTTCTTGTGAAAAGCAAACCCAGAACTGGTGTGTGTTTTTTATAGGGCATGGCAGCTGTAACCAACACCTCCAATCTCATCTCATTGATTGGACTCCAGTTGGCTGACATCTCACTCAAATTAGCTCTTGGAGATGTCATTAGTCTAGGGTTTCACATACTTTTTCCACCTGCACTGTGAATGTTTACATGGTGTGTTGAATAAAAACATGGCAACATTTCATTCTTTGTGTGTTATTAGTTTAAGCAGACTGTGATTATTTATTGTTGTGACTTAGATGATGATCAGATCACATGACCAATTTGTGCAGGAATCCATATCATTCCAAAGGGTTCACATACTTTTTCTTGCAACTGTATACCGCTCTGGCTCCAATTCCCTAGAGACAGTTCACGTTTGTGGTATTGCAAACTCTGCAAAGTGGCATACATACCTATCGGTAATTATACCATTTTTAGAACCCATTTATGCCATAATAATAATGACAATTTCGTTATAGCCAACATTTTGACGTTACATGGGTACTGTGTGTGATTTGGTCTTTTATTGAATGTGGTGCACTTATTGCTTGTTCCAATGTGTACCACTGAGGGGGAAAAGGTGTGGCACCTACCCTGGCCAACTGAGACCTTTTGCACCTTCTAGGAGATGTCTCCACTCCTTCAAGGCTACAAGCGCTGGTCAAGAATAGCCTCTACTCCTACCTCAGAAGCATCTACTTCCAATACAAAAGGAAGTGAAGCGTCAGGAAGTCTGAGGACAGCAGCAGAAACAAACGCTATTATCAGGTTCTCGAAGGCTTCCATTGCCTCAGGGGGCCAAACATAGTGGTTCACAGCCTTCTTAGTGAGGTTCGTGATAGGGGCTATAATGGTAGAAATATTTTTTATAAACCTTCTATAATAGTTGGTAAACCCTTTGAACCTCTGGATTGGTTTTAATCCCTAAGGCAGAGGCCAATCAACAACAGCTGAAAACTTCTTAGGATCCATGCTGAATCCAGAAGCCGAGATAACATAATTCAAGAGATCAAACAAACACTTTTCTAGTTTACAAAAGAGACCATTGTCGAGAAGTGTTTGTAAAACCTTAGAAATGTGCATTGCATAGGCCGAAAGGCATGACTGCATATTCATAATGCCCTCTTCTGGAGTTAAAGGCAGTTTTCCACTCATGAAGTACCATGCGTACCAAGTTGTATGCACCCCTCAGACCCAGCCTGGTATAGACAGAGGCCCATTTTAGCGCTGGTAGATTCTGGAGCAGCTAATAATTTTATAGACAGGGGCTTTGTCAGGACCCACTTACCACCCATAAGAAAGAAGAGGGCACCTTTGGCCGTTGAGGCCATAGATGGTAGACCTTTATATTATCAATGAATCAATCATAAGACAGAACAGTTGACTATGCGGTCTGGTCTGTTACACACAGAGATGTTATGTTTTCAGGTAATCACCTCCCCTTTTTCCTCTGTAGTACTAGGTTATCCTTGGTTATGTCTGCATAACCCCACTATTTACTGGAGATAATATTATCATGGAGTGATACGTGTCAGGAGAAATGCAAAAAAAAGATTACACCTGTTCATAACATTAATGTTCCTACTACTCCACCACTGTCTACACATAGCCTTCTCTTACATACACCTTAAGGTGGTGTTTGATAGGAGGGAGGCAGACAGATTACCACCTTATGATTGTGCCATAGATCTCCTACCTGGTCCCTGGGAAGACAAGGGATAAACAAAAGAAGGATTTATCCCTTGTCTTCCCAGGAGAATACCATCAAGGATTAGTATGTTAGAGATTCATTAGTGAAGGGTTTTATACGTAGTTCTTCCTCTCTGGCCGGGGCTGGTTTCTTTTTTGTATCCAAAAAAGAGGGAGACCTACGCCCCTGCATAGACTACAGAGGGTTGAATCTTGTCTAAGGTTCAGTCAGCTATTGCAAAATCTTAGAGTAATCTCTGGTCAGAATCCACTGAGTCTGTGCATGTATATTGCAAGCAGCTACAAAAGAAGAGATATCAGTATTCAATGGAGGCCACCAAACATATTTCTGTGCTCTTTGCTTCATGGCTAACTTTTTTATCAAATACTAATTTGCAGCTAAATTACCCATGAACCCCAAAAAAGACAGCCAGAGTCATGCACAACTTCATTCCTTCCTTTAAAATATTGCTGAAGTTCAGAGCAAACTACAATAGGCCACCCATACTGAACAAAAGACAATCTCCTTTAACCTATAATTAAAGCATGTATAAATAGCAATCGCCTTCAAATTTTGATTTAAACGCTAAGGAGAAGTTTCAATTATTTAAGAAGATGCTGCCATGTGATGTACCACTGGCAATCTTTAAAACATATTATTATTATTATTATTATTATTATTATTAATTTTATTATTATATCTAAAATGCCAACAATATTCCATGACGCTGTACAATGGGTGGAATAACAGACATGTATTTGTAACCAGACAATTTGGACAAACAGGAACAACAGGGATTGAGGGCCCTGCTCAATGAGCTTACATGCTAGAGGGAGGGGGTATAGTGACACAAAAGGTAAGGGTAGAGTAGAAAAGTAGGTTGCTAGGATAGTATTCACTGAGGGCATAATGTTTTGTTTTGATGGCAGTTGCAGGAGAGGAATCAAGGTGCAGGGAGAGAACACTGTTCACAGTTTAATTGATACTTTCCTGAAGAAGTAAGTTTTCAAAGATTTCTTGAAGGAGTGGAGATTGGGTGAAAGTCTAACAGAGAGGGGAAAGGAAAGTTCCATAGGAAGACCTCTTGGACCTTGCTGAAATAGCAGAACTACAGCCTGATCTGACCCATCTGGTTAACCTGGAGTGGCAGATTGAGTAGGACTACAGGTGACTATTCGAAACAGCACAGCCGCATGTTCCAGAGACTGGAGACTCAATGGACTTCGCAACCCTGTGGCAGTGGGAGTTCATGGGAACCGAGACTCGTTCTCATTACCCATCGGCAGTGTGAGTTATTGGGAGGGGAGACAACTGGTCTCGTTCCCCAGCAGCTGAGTGAAATCCAGGGCGAGAGGGGGGGGAGGAAAGAGAGGAGGAGAGCGGGCATGGATGCTTACACACAGCATTCCTAAATACTTCCTGTATACAGCCATGAAATGTTCAAGCTTCCTTTATTGCCATTTTTTTTAAATTGAGAATGTCTTATCTCTTTGCTCTGTTAATAGCCTTCTAGACCTTGCAGGAGCCTTATGAGTAAATTTCAATTTACAGAGCAGGAGATAAAAACATTTAAAGTAAGTTAACATGTGATTGAAATTTAAACTATTTTGCTCATGCAGGCTGTTTAATTCATAGCCAGGAGAGGTGTGGCGAGGACTCCATGGACAGAAACAAATGTGATTAAACTACTGAATGGCAGAGAATTTAGGAGTGAGACTGCAGGGGCATGATCTATACACCAAAACTGGTTCATTAAGCTAAAGTATTCAAATACCTTGGCACACAATTAACTCCAAGCCCACTGGTTTTTATCTAAAAGACAGTAGTAGTGCATATACACTGATCAGCCACAACATTAAAACCATGGTGAAGGTGAAGCGAATAACATTATTATACTATGAAGCAAAAATACTAATGAACAAACATCAGTAATCACAATAATACAACAAAATAAGGAATCTTTTAGGGTACTACACTGAAATAAGAATTATACTTCACAAAATATTAAAACAAACAAACAACAATAAAAAGAAACAGGTCAAGGCAAATAGAGCTCAACAATGAACACCTAAAAAGTAAAATCTATGACTATTGAAACTGATACAAAACCAAAAAATTAAATATAAAAACAATAATAATAGAGTACATTGTTAAATAAGTGAGTTTGGCAAATCAAGACTGTGGAATAAAACTTTACAAATGCAATCATCATGTATCACTTTTTTATGTTATTTTTTTTAAGTATAAGAAATATCACACTGGGTTAAGCAATTAAACTGAAAATCAATAATAGCATAATTATTTACCAATTATAGTTCTGTTTTACTAAAGAGTATGATAGAAATCACTATAATACATGACAATGACAACAGCATCCAAATAAGTGTCTTACCTTGCAAATTATTCTGCTCAGCTGAACCTGAATACACGTAAATGTATGATTTCAGTTTCTCCTGCTTTACTGCTTGCGTATCAAGAGTTACAGATCTTCTCAAAGAATGAGTTTGATATGTTACAAACATGCATCCCCTGGTATTAAGATAAAACAAAATGCAGGTTTTTAAAAGACACAAAAAGTGGGTAAGTGGCGCTAAACAGTATATATATAGAAATATAAAAGTATGTCCCAGTGTGTCTAAAACCAAACCAGTGTTTTAGTCACCCTAAAAACACTTACATACATACAGTTGGATAAAAGAAGAGGAGGTTTTGCGCACACAGTGGATAAATGGTAGTAAAATCTGTAATATATAAAAAACTATCATAGGGCAATATGCATATAACCAATATATAATGTAAAGTTAACTTGGAGCACTCACAATCTAGAGAGCCATATAAGTCGGCTCTCTACTGTAATGGTGTGTAGAATACTCCAGAATCTATGCTGTGGTTATGATGGTCCCCCAGGAACAGAAGTCAAATTCCATCTGGATAAAATCAGGAACCAAAATAAAAGTATAAATAAAATCTTTATTTTAAATAAATGATAAATAAGCACAACACTTTTCGACCACTCTCTTGGTCTTCCTCAGGTGCAATAATGGTACATACCAATGACATGTTTATATACCTAATACAAAAATAAAAAATACATGTGTAAAATCCAAAAACCCGCCTATCAAAGTCCATATAAGGTGATTCTGGTCCTTATTCCCCTTCTAAAATGGAGTCCTTGTTCTATCAAGTCTATGCCAGTTGACCTCCTCACTATGGCCATGTTTTTCGGATGTCCGTGTCCGATCATGTGACTTCTGACGGTAAGCCGGGACATCACTTCCGGTTTCCGTCACCTTAATAGAGACTTCCGGTAGTGTGTTGAAAGGACATAATTTCCGGTTCGCGTCATCTAAATAATGTTGTTTCCGGTTCGAGTCATCTGAGTAAAGGGTGGAACAATTTTTCTTTCTGAAGATATGATTGGCTACTTGTATAGAGTCCATAGCAAGTGGCTAAATATGACTCATAATTGGCATAGAAGAAAAAGGAGAGGGCAAGGGAAAAAAGCACATCTTTAGTAAATAAATACAATACATAATTAAATATAAAAATAAGACATAATAAAAATATATATGTATATAGAAAACTCATTAAGCATTAATGAGCAGCATAATAGGCATCAAAAAGTGGGTTAAATTTTTTTTAAATGATAATAAAATGGGATGAACATTAATCAATAGTGCAAAAAACATTAAATACAAATCAGAGTTTAAATGGTACTAGAAGAGTGCTGACAGATTAAATTATAAAATGGGACCAATGTCAAAATCTAAATTTAACCCCTTTGGGTGTAGTGTTTATAGGTCACAAATCCAGGAACTTTCCTTTTTACTAAGGTTTAAGACGTTGTCACCACCTCTCCAATTATTTGAAACCTTTTGAATAGCCATAAACTTTAGGTTTTTAGTATTGGACTGGTGTATTTCTAAAAAGTGTTTGGATACAATATGGTTCGGAAAACCTTTCTTTATGTTTCTGATATGTTCATTTATATGGATTTTTAAAGATCTAGAGGTTTTCCCTATATATTGTAGACCGCATTTACATTCTAACAGGTAAATGAAATTGTTTGATTCACATGAAATGAAGGCAGGTACAGAATATTGTTTTATTGTTTGTTAGTTACAGGTGAAAAGTTTCTTTCTTTTTCTTGTTAAAACTGGTACTTTTACAGGCATTACAGTTTCCACAGTGGAAAAAGCCTTTTTTGTTTCTTTGACCAATCATCTATAAATGTTTGTTTTTCTTCCCCATTTATATAACTGGAGGTTAAAATTTGCTTTAAATTCCTAGCACTTCTAAAAATAAAGTTTGGCTTCTGTACCAGAAATTCTTTAACGTCATGTTCCTGCTGAAGAATATGCCAGTTTTTATTGATGGCCTTTTAAAGGATACCTATGTTACTTGAATAATAAAAATCCTGATTGTTAAAATCTTTTTGTTCTGTGCAATTTCGTTTCAAACGTAGGAATTGACCCTTTGGTATATTACATAGCCAAGGGTCATAGTGGCAACTTTTCATATCAATAAAACTGTTAATATCAACTTGTTTAAAAAAAGTTCTGGTTTTGACCTGATTATTGGAAATAAAAATGTTAAGATCCAAAAAGTCTATTGAGGTAGAACTGATGTTTTTAGTCAATTGAATTCCCCATTCGTTGAGGTTAAGATAAATTAAATTCAAGCTCTGTCCCTTTCCATACCATAAAAACATAATCTATATATCTTTTATAGAGGACCAAGTTTGCCCCATATTTATGTCCTTGGTAAATAAAAGTTCTCTCCCAAAATGACATGAAAAGATTGGCATAACTTAGCTGTTCCTCGAACATAGCTGTTCCTCGAATTTGAAGATAAAAATCATTCTGGAACCAGAAATAATTATTGGTTAAGATCATTAAAATCCCTTTAATTAAAAATAAAATTTGTACTTCTGTAAATTCCCTGGATTCTTTAAGATAAAACTTGACAGCTTCAAGCCCCCTTTGATGTTCAATAATAGTGTATAGACTCGTCACGTCACATGTGACTAAAAAATATCCTTGTTCCCACTTATACTCGTTTTAAATATTTAGAAGACTCATCGAATCTTTTAAATAGGCTGGACAGGATTTCACGAGTGGTTGGAGGAAGTAGTCTATGTATTGAGAAAGCTGGGTTAAAACTGAATCTTCAATTTCATTAAATATATATCTTTATCCAAAATGACTACTCCTCCACCCTTGTCAGCGGGTTTTATTACAATTGAGCTCTTTTGTTTCAATTGTTTAATAGCTAGCCTCTCCTTATAGGTCAGATTTTGATCGTATTTAGTGAGAGGTTTTATTTTATATAATTTGTCTAAACATGCTTTTTCAAACACTCTCATACTTTGGGTTTTTAAAAATTCATGATAAAACTTTGATTTTTTTTCTTAAAATCTGTCTGTTTAGTCATGTTATCATCATTAGTCATCTCTAAGGTTGCTTCCTGTTTCTTTCCATAAAAAAATTTTTAAGACAGCATTTTCTCATAAATCTATTAATATCTATAAAAGCTTCAAATTTATTTATTGGACAACTTGGTGCATATTTAAACTGTAGCAGAACCCCTCTGGCTGTCCAACACATTTCCTTCATAATTTTTTATTTGCACATAAAAGGTTTTTGTATGAACTTCTATTAGACTGTGTATAGATTGTGTATAGGAAGCTGTACCCTTCCCCCGTTTCCTGTCCCATTGTTCTCCAGCAGGGCGTTGTCCCAGGCACACTGCCAGACTAGTTTGAACTGGTTTGGGCTAGAAAGTTTGGGCTGGAAAGCCATGCTTCAGTGGTCCTAAAGGGATCCCACCTAACTTTTTAACCCCCATAACTCCCAAACCCCTGGTCAGATCGGGGTGGTTTTTGAATATGTTATTCACCCAGATCAGGGCTATCAGGGGATACCCCATTTAGGGGTGTACCCTTTGTATTTGGGGTACATCTAGAACTTGGGGAAAAATATGTACATTTTAATTCTGTTAACAGATAAGCTGATGGGAGGAGATGTGTGATTAAAATGCACGGGAGCATTGCATAAAAGCAGGGGTTGTGTGATTAAAAGTTAGTTAAGTTCTACTCCTGATACTGTGTGTCGTCCAGTTATTGGGAAAGGTGATGGGATATTACTGGATTGCCTTGCTGATTGTGCTTGTTACCCTATTGGATTTACTACTTGTTCCTGAGCCATTCTAGGATACCAGCGGAAATAGGCTGTGGGAAATCAGCTCTCTGCTACATAAACCCTCTAGTTAAAATTTTTATTTGGGTTGGAGATAATGTTAATTTAGACAAGTTAAAAACTTTTATCTCATTACTATCCTTTTCCTTTCTTGACTTATCTCTCCCTCCTCTGTTTCCTCTTCTAGTATTCTTTGCCTTTTCAGGGTTTTCTCCTCCATATCTGGTATAAAAAAACCTCCTCATTTTCATTTCTTAATCTTTCAAATCTATTTCTAGTAGGGATATGAAAAGGTCTTTCTTCAACTCTATAGGCTCTTTTATATTGTGGCTCCCTTCTTGGTTTTGCATCAGGTCTAGATGGGGTTCTTTGGAATATTTTAGGCCTTGCTGATCTGGTTGTCTGGGGGCTTATCTTTCTTCTTTGTACAAGAATATGTTCTGCTTCCAGTCTGAGCTGGTGTTTTTATCTTGGGTTGGTAGGACTGATTATGAGGTTTATAATATTTGTTCTCATAGTTTAGAGGTTTATAATACCTCCTTTCATGTCTCTGATAGTTTGATTTGTATGGAGCTCTGGACTGGCTCTGATCCTTACTATTGTTTTTAGGGATCTTTCTTACTCTATCATTCGCATAGTCATCTACATCCCTCTTAAACTTCTTTTTCTTATTTAGGATTATAGAGTTTTTAAATTTTTCTAAACTGGTTTTTAGAGAAAAATTGCCTCAGGGAAGTCAAGAGAAAAAAAAGGCATACAGCCCTATCTCTCATAGACAACTCAGGAGGTATACCCACAGAGAATAATGTTAACCCATAGAGTTTAAAGTAAGATAGATAGGTATGAAATAAGAGAATAAAAGAACAATCTTTATTAAATTATTTCTTGTTCGAGTCATCTAGACTCCTTAACACAAATAACCAAAAACTCTTATTAAATAAAACCAAAAAGTGTAAAGTAATTTAAAAGGAGGGAAGAAGGAAAGGAAAAAATAAGGGGTGAGGGGGGGGGGGAGAGCTCTTTGGATATATCTATATCATTAATTGCAAAGGCTTAAAGTAGAGGTAAGTATCTGTTGGGCAAAATATTAACAGGTATACCCTTAGGGAAAGCTCCTAAGAAAGAGCCCTTAACAAATCTATACAACCCTTAGCGAGAAATAGTCTAATTCCCTAAGTTGTAAATTGCCCTTAAACAGAGTATTATAAAACACGTGAGTAGAGACTCTAGTCCTAGCTAGACTGAATAGAATCCCTTTTTGAGATGACGCAGGAACAAGATAATATTGGCTTGATTGCCTAATAACTAAGGGTCCCTGACACAATCATCCAAAATCTAGACTAAAAAGAATCTCTTATTAAAATGCCGATAGGACCGAAAAAGTATGGACTTAAGTACCTAATAGCTAGGAGTCCCTAATGCAGGCATACAAAGTCATCAGAAATGTACTGGACTACCTGTCTCTAAAAAATCCCCATAGTCTAACTATAAAGCCATATCGCAAAGGAGCTGCCCCAAAATAAAAAAGGAAGCATCAGAACTCGATGCGCGTTTCGGCGCTCTTAGGCGCCTTGGTCAAGAGTACAAGCTGCCCGATCGGCAACCCACCTTTTAAAGGGAGGGGAGAGACACACCTCCAATCAATACGTCATCAGGTAGTGACGTCATCTGGATGGTGGCTCGTCAGACCTAAACCTCACAATATAAACAACATTGCCGTGCAAGTTAACCGGCAGACAGAGGATACAAATTGTATTCACTGTCTCCAGCAGTACTTAAACCTTTGGATACATTATAAGCAGAAATTTATTTATTTAGATATGTGGCAAAAAACGATATGAGTGTGTTTAACAGCCATATGTTATTGGAAATTGTCAAAATAAACACACTGTTAAACCACTATATGAACTAAACAGAGCAGAAGAAGGGGGAATCAAAACCCTAATTTTGTTCAATTGAATTGGGAGTAAACTTAGTATCCCTAATAGGCCTAAATTATTATACTATCCAGATCCAAGAAATAAAAAAGAAACACATAAGTGTATAAAAAGGTGAATTTTTATCTTTCTCGGATAGAGAAGGGTATTGGCACAGTAAAAGGTCCATATTAAGGTGTACACTAGTTTTGGAAAAGATAAGTAAATAAACAAATTAACAAATGATAATCTTATGAGTTAAATCAAAACATTGAGCTTGTCCCATGATTATATGGAATAGAGAGATTTTACAGTTTTAAATGCAAGGGGACAGATGTAAATTATGTAATTAATGTAAAAAATGTAACAAAGTTCCATGGATTTACAGAAAGGGCGAAAAAGAGAATCCTTCATTGAGTCCTCTGGGGCTCAAAGTTTTTAATCTATAAATCCAGAAGGACTCTCTTTGTCTTAAAAATTTATCATAGTCACCCCTTCTGGCACTTTTTTTCACAAGCTCCAGACCGTTATGGCATTCCCTGAGGTGTCTAGAAATGGGAGTATCCATTGGATTTTTGGGAGATCTTACGTGTTCCTGGATCCGTTTCTTAAAGGGCCTAAAGGTCTTACCGACGTATTTTAGGTTACACTGACAGGTGAGTAAATATACCAACCCACTAGTGTTACAGTTGAAGAAAGACGTGATCGTAAATTCCTCTAGATCCTCACTGTCTTTCACCTTTTTTGAATCTCTTTTAATATACTTACAGGTGACACATCTACCGCCTCCGAAACTACCCACCACAGGATTCTAAAGCCATGTAGTGGGCTGCTTCAGCTGCAGGTGGCTAGGGGACAGTATGTCACGTACATTTTTCCCCCTCCATGCTGTAATAGTTGCGTTCGGGGTTAATCTCTGCTTTAAGTGTTCGTCGCCTGTGAGTAATGGCCAGAAACGTTGAAGGGAATCTTTAACCTTACTCCAGCCTGCATCGTAGGTACCTATGAGGCGGATGATATTTGAATCCTTTTGAGAGGTATTATTGGATTCACCTAACAGGGTATCACGGTCAGATGCTATTGCTCGCTGATAGGCTTGATTAAGGTATCTATTAGGATATCCTTTTTCCCTGAAATCTGTTGGGAGGATTTTTGCTTTTTGATAAATTCCTCGATCGAGCTGCAATTACATCTAACTCTGAGGTATTGACCTATGGGGATACCTCTTCTGAGTGATTTGGGATGGAAGCTATCCCATCTTAAAAGATTATTAGATGCTGATTGTTTTTTAAATAATGTGGTTTGTATCGTATCATGATCTGTAATAGAAATCTTTAGATCGAGAAAATTAAGGCTTTGACCCCCAAACTCACACGTGAATCTTAGGTTTCCGTCATTAATATTGAGGATCTTAAACTCAAAAAAGTCTTCTTTAGTTCCTTGCCAAATTAGTAGGACGTCGTCAATGTAGCGACGCCATAAAAAGATGGAAGGGAGGTATTTAGCAATATCTTTAGATTGAATAAGCTTTTCCTCCCACCAGCCTAGATGGAGGTTGGCATAGGAGGGGGCACAAGCTGTCCCCATCGCCGTGCCCCTCACTTGGTGGTAGAATTTATTCTTAAAGATGAAGAAATTGTGGGTCAGTATGAATTCGAGAAGTTTTAAACAAAAGTTTGTATGGAAATTATGTTGATCCCCTCTTTGTTCCAAAAAGTATTTTACATGTTGAATTCCATTTTCATGAGGGATGGAAGAATATAGTGCCTTAATATCCAGACTGCATAATTTAGCCGACTTGGGGATTTTTAATTTAGAGAGGAGGGCAAGGGTTTGTTTTGTGTCTTTTAAATAAGAGGGAAGGCCCTCAACAAAAGGTCTTAAAATTTGATCGATGTAAATACTCCCATTTTGGGTCATATTCTCAATGCCAGAGACGATAGGGCACCCTGGGGGAGTTTGAAGGTTCTTATGGACCTTTGGCAGGCAGTAGAAGGTTGCTATCTTCGGGCGACGATTGAAGATATATTCAAACTCGTCACCCGATAGCAACCCCCCACTTTGGCCCTGGTCCAAAATCTCTTTGTATTCTGTAAGGAAAGTGTCCATAGGGTCGGACTTCAAGATCTTATAAGTTGTTGTATCTTCTAGAACCTTCATTACCACTTCCGTGTAGTTACTCAAATCCATAACTACAATGTTATCCCCTTTGTCTGCCGGTTTGATGATAAGTTCGTCATTGTCTTCAGAGATTTTAAAGCTCTCTTTTCTTGTTTAGACAAATTCATATTTGGAACATAATCTAGAGATCTAATATTGATTTTTTTCAATTTAATCTTTCATTGTCTCTAGAAATAAATCGATATTTCTATAATTGCCTAGGTGTGGAGTGAACCGGCTCTTTGGTTTGAGGTCAGTATAAATTGGAGAATTGACCTCATAGTTTTCTTCCCATAATTCCACCAGGGTAGTCAGGCAATCATATTCAGTAGTTGACATTCCGATTACTTTTTTTCTCCTTGCTAATCTGATGGAATTTATGGAGTGCTAGTTTACGTGCAAATAGATGCAGATCTTTCACCCATAAAAATGTATTAAAGAGAGGAACCGGGACAAATGACAAACCTTTTTCTAGTAAAGAGAGATGGTCCTTATTGAGAGTAGTATGTGATAAGTTAATGATTCTAAGACTAGTTTTGGCATTGGCATTAGGTACTAGAACATCCTTCTCTTACACCCTTCCTGTAGCCCCCCTCTGTTTTGCGTTTAAACTGGTTTTTACCCTTTCTGACAGCATTTCAAAATCATTAAATACAAATCAGAGTTCAAGTCCGCAATACAAAAATTTAAATGTGACGAACCTCATGCAGAGGAAGAACTAATTTTAAGTGACAATCTAGATCTCATGGTAGACCAATTAGAAAAATTATTTAGTAGAGTAATTAAGATAAAATGGGAAGTTTTTACCCATGAAAAATATCTCAAGGCTAAAATAACGCCTAGAGGTTTGAGGACTTCCTGGACTGGTTTGTTGAGGGAGATGGAAGTATGAGCCTGTCCAGGGTGTCTACAGTGCGCTTCTTTCTCCCTGTCTGAGCCTCATCCATTCTCAAAGCTAGTGCAATCTGTAACATGAAGTCATTTCCTCCTAGCACTGCCAACATTAAAGGGACCCGGTCACGCTGGGCCCTTTATCCCACCTACCAAAAAACAGTGTAGCGCTTATTACCAATTAAAAAGTGTTAGTCACGTGGAAACAATAGAATACCTAGAGACATATGTCTTAACATCAATGGGAAAATCTTTAAGTAAAGAAAAGCTTAGTATCACAACGATAAATACAATACTGTATAAGCATGTGAATAAATAGCATAATAATAGGTGAAACAATTGAATACTCACACTTTCATGAGTTAAAACACTTAGCTTTGGTGAAAACAGCTTGGGGGTCCGTAGAGGTGACCCTTCTCTTCTTTATACTGGAGATTTTCTTAATGAGTCCTAAACATTAGCTCAGAAAAGATATGGACATAGGTTAATAGAGTAGTGTACAGAAACCTCCAACAAATACTTCACGAATGGATTCTCACAAAGGTAGAGCCAATTCCAGGCTCTATAAACAGTGTGGTTTAGGACCACACTCCCTTCTTTCTCAGTAGCAGGAACAAGATGCCAAGTAATATTACAAAAAAACTATTTATTGAATATGACAACTATTAAAAGATTGGCAAACAGACTCTCGCTATTGCCAGTCTGTGTTGAGAGTCTGGAGTTGCTTTGTCCTGCTAATATAGCCGGAATGGGTTTTGCTACTATCCACCTTTTATATTCTTGGCTGTCCATAACCCTTTTTGTTGCTTTATTTATATCATTTGCAACTGTTCGTTACTTATAGGAACAAGTAACAAGCTGTCCTTTTATATCATTCGTCTGGTTGTTCGGTAAGAATCCTATTCCCACATGTTAAGCCATATCGTTCGACAACCTAACAAACTACTGAACAACCAGGCCACCCAGGAGAGGAGCGTGGCACTAATTGACCTCCCTATCGTTATTCACACTGCCTTAATTGCCAACCGCACAAACTAACTGGGTATTCCCTGGGCCATCTGTGACGAAATGCCTTTTGTCCCTGGATTGTTAGGTGACAAGCTGCCCTTTGCCCCCGGCTTTTGGAGGTGCCTGATTGCCAGCCTCCTTCCTCATGACTATGGCCCTGGGGTGTATTGCCATTTAAAAAGAATATTTGGGGATTATTGGCTTCTAAAGACAGTTTCTTCCCATTGGAATCCATGGGAAGGTGTGTTTCTTCCCCTCCCCCACCCCCATTTCCTGTCTATTGTTCTCCAGCAGGGCGTTGTCCCAGGCACACTGCCAAACCAGTTAGAACTGACTGCTTTTGTCCCTCCTTGGTTTCTCAATAGCCCTTGCTATGCTTTACCCCGTGGAAAATCTACTCTGTTCATGGGATCTGAGTGCTGTTCACCTAGATTGGGCGCTCAGATCCGAGCTATCTGGGGATAGGTTAAATGTGGGGGTTCTGTGTAATAAAATAAAATAAGAATTATGTATTTATGTACATAAAATAAGAATTATGTATTTTTATGTACTTTTACGTATTTTTGCGGTTAGTATAAAATGTAGATATTTTCTGTACCTGGAGATAATTGAGTTTACTGCAGTGCCTTAAGCCAATTATCTCCAGGATGGAGAGGAGGGATTTCATTGTGTATGTGAGAGTGTTATTATGTTAATTAGTGTTCCCATTGGTTTGTGTCCCTTTTGTCACAGTTTACCACCAGGTCCAGGGGGTGTGCCTCTGACCTGAAAACGTGTATATAAGCAGTAATAAACGCTCATTGGAGTCAGATCATCTTGTACCTTCATGAAGTTTCGGCTCATGTTTGGGGGATTGGAGAAACTACACTCTGGGGACTGCTATAATCACTATACTCCCCAGGGTATAATCACTAAGCTCTGCTAAGAGCTTGTTCCTGTTCCTGCTCTCTGGAATTGGGAGAGAGGTCGAACTGCTGGAAGCTGGGTCCAGAGTGGGTGGAGACGGCGAGACCCCAACCAACCTGCGGCGGTTCGTGGGGTCTGCAGAGTGCTTGGAGTCCTCGGAAAGCACTAGGAGCATCCGTCGGCGGAAGGTACCGGGTCGGGGTGCCAGCGGTTCTGTCACACCATCTTTACATATGAATGCACCAGCAGTGTTTGGTAGTTGAGTGTCTGGAACCCAAATTGGACACTCGAAGGCACGAACACCGCAGGGACTTCCATCCTCGCACAAGTTCGTGGGAAATCAAGGGAACAGAGCGGCGTTCGGTGAAAAGAGTAATAATAATGAGGGGAATCATACGAACAAATAGACAACCCATTATGTTATACATTTTCGTGCACTTCAACCCCACGAATGGAGACCGACCGCACAGCCAAAACACATGGAACTATCCTCGGCTTACACCTCGTGTGCGGTCAGTAAAACTAATACCTCAATAAAACTTTCAAACCCCTGAACTGATCTGGGTGATTTTTCAGAATGTTGCTCCCCCAGATCGGGGCTATCAGGGGATGTTGGAATTATGACTGTATGATATGGTTTTGGGGTGTTTTCAGAAAAGTGTGAATAGTATGATTTTTCTGTTTTGGAATAATTGAGTTGATACAGTAATTAACTCAATTATCCTCTGAGCAGAGGAGAGGGGTTGTATACAGTGTATGGGAGTTTCTTGTAAATGAACTGTTTTTACTGGTTGTTGCACATTTTTATCGGTGCCCCACAAGGTCCACCTGGGTGGTAACCTTTGGGGCAATGTTTGCATAAAAGGCCAGCCTGGCCATTAAAGGATCAGTTCTGCTCTTAATACTTAGTGTTGTCCAGTTATTGGGAAGGGTGGTGGGCTATTCATATAACATATTGTATTTCTGCCTGCTGTCCTGAAGTAACCTGCATGTTCCTGAGTAGCTGTGACTAGTGGAGAATAAGCCCTGCTACCATTGCTCTCCGCTACAGAATTACTGGCGATAATTACACTAAACACTAACAGTTACAGTGATCTAAATGGGAAAAGTATAAATATCTATGTTCCTAAAAATATAAGAGAATTACCTCCATAATATAAGAAATATTCTTAATGTATTTTAAGAGGGCATTGTCCTTACTACTAAGGAGCATATGAGATTTAATTAGAAAATAAGATAGATTTTTTAGAAAAGGAATATAAAGAGACCAAATTAGAAGAATCTAGAACGGATATCAGAACGAAGGAAAGAGTACAATTAGTGCAATATACAGATAAAACTATCCGTTCAACAGATTAGGTCTCTTGTATCTGCGATTTCAATTTGGAAAACAGAAAAATAAGAGGGATTGTGACAACATTTTGGCCTGTACTCCTACAGGACCCAGTTTCAAAACTATCTTCCCCAACCAACCGACTTTTATACAAAGAGGAGTTAATAATTTTAAAGACGCTTTAACAAAAAGTTTTATTAAAGAGGAAAAAGACCAACCCACATTTTTTTAATAACCAAAACGTTTTTTTTTGGATGTGGTCATTGTCTAGCTTGTAAAAGAACAGGAGATAAGAAAAGACATCTTAGGGAGTTTATAACAGACCATGCAATGTATCCTATCTAATGAATTAATAACGTGCTTTCAGAAAAATGTCATATATCTTCTACAATGCCCATGTGGTCTTAACTACATAGGCAAACTACTATGGTGTTACATACCCAGGTAGAAGAACACAATTAACAAAAGCTTTGAACTACATAGTGTATCATCCCATTTCAAATCACATCATAATAGTGACACTAAGGATATGCACTTTAAAAAAGAAAGAATGGGGTTAGGAAATTTTGACCAGAAATTAAGTAAGTTTGAAATGCAATGGATTTTTAATTAGGTCACTTTTTATGTCACTGTAACTGTTAGTTTTTAGTATAATTATCACCAGTAATTCTATTCTATTTTATTTTATTTAGTGTTCAAATATACATAATCCTTTGATGTTTCCCATTTTTCCCTATTATTTATATGTGGAGAGTTTTTAAAGACTCACAAAGCAAAAGATTGAATAGGACAATAAATGGAACACAGTGAGACTTTATTTCTGGGGAGGATGTCTATATGGAATGCAAACATGGCCGCTAACACACATAAGAAGACTTATGATGACGCAGAACGAACAAACCGGAAATGATGAGACGGAAGTAGCTGCCACGTCACAAAAATCCCAGATGGGAACGAGGCTTGAAACGGTGTGCACTCCCGGCGCATCGTCGCATTTCCGAACCTGGATGGCATTATCCCCCTATTAAGAGGGTATATTAGCAGGACGAAGCACCTCCAGACTCTCAGCACAAATTGCCCAACTGTTAAGTGGCAAAACACATCCAGGCAATAGCAAGAGTCTATTTGTTTGCAAATTTGTTAAGGTGTCATATTTAATAAACAGTAATTTTTTTTAATATTACTTAGCATCTTGTTCCTGCTACTGAGATAGAAGGGAATGTAGTCCCTAAACTTTACACTGCACTGTATATAGAGCCTGGAATAGGCTCTGCCTTTGTGAGTATCCATTTGTGAAGAACCTGTTGGAGGTTTCTGTACACTACTCTTTTACTCTATGTCCATATCTTTTCTGAACTAATGTTTAGGACTCATTAAGAAAATTTCCAGTATAAAGAAGGGAAGGGTCGCCTCTACGGATTCCAAAGCTGTTCCCACCAGAGCTAAGTGTTTTAGCTCATGAAAGTGTGACTGTTCAATTGTTTCATCTATTATTATGCTATTTATTCACTGGGTTATACACTATTGTATTTATCTTTGTTTATTTAAAGGTACTAAGTGTGACATGTACTCCCTTAAACTGCCCAGCACTCTTGCTGCCAGACGGTCTGACCATGTGGCATACTCTAATGTACTCCCCTCCTCCTGCCGCGCGGTCCAGCCGATCCATGCGGCTGCGCTGCATCACATCCTTATATAGAGTGTAGGCATGATGTCACGCCTGTTTTTTCAAACTGACCACGTCATCATTGCGATTCTAAAATATTTTGAGTCACAATGATGATGTGGACCAAACAGTACACAGGTAAGCCTATTAAAGGCTTGCTTTGGCCCTTATTCTTTGCGCTTTCGTGATTTCTTGTTAGATCCATGTTTAGTGCTCCCAGAGATTCTCTTATGATTTCCTTTGTTTGACCTTCATATTTGACTTGTGATTTCTGGTATCCTGACCTCGGCTTCGTATTTGATTTGTGATTTCTCGTATCCTGACCTTGATTTATTCTCTTGCAAAAAAGTAATGATGGTCCAGGCACTCAACTTAAATCCAGTGGGCAAAGTTATTGGAGCAGAATTTATTGGAGCAGAAAAACAATGTTTCAGCCCACAACAGTTTGTCCATCTTGATTAATTCTTAACCTTGATTCTCGCTATATTAATACATTAAGTCCGGCCAATCAAAGGCTCGGTAACACGTCTTTTGGATCCATCTTTTGTGGGTTTCCTCTTTCCTGTTAGGGTAAGACACCTGTGACACTAAAGTCTTCTTTACTTAAAACTTTTCCCATTGATGTTAAGACATATGTCTCTGGGTATTCTGTTGTTTCCACATGTCTAACCCTTTTTTAATTGGTAATAAGCACTACACTGTGTTTTGGTTCATGGTTTTAAGTTGGGTTGTGTGAAGATTACACATCACAGTGTGATAGCAAATGAATTATTTAAAATTTGATATACACATTTGTATAGAATTTTTCACAATAAGCGCTAATACATGCTAGTCTTACATTTATCTCATCTACCTATCGAGTACACAATGCCCACTCCTTCTGAGTGCTGCCCTAAGCTTGACTTCCTGACATACATTTATATAATAGTAAAAATCTTTTGGAAAAATATTAAAGAATTTTATTTACACAAGATAATTGCATCAATTTAAAGGGACACTCCAGGCACCCAGACCACTTCTGCTCATTGGAGTGGTCTGGGTGCCAACTCCCACTACCCTTAACCCTGCAAGTGTAATTATTACAGTTTTCATAAACTGCAATATTTACCTTGAAGGGTTAAGTCGTCCTCTAGTGGCTGTCTCATAGAACACGAAAAGTGTGTTATAACGTCGCTGGAAGTCCTCACGCTGAATTCCCCATGCTTTCCTATGGGGAGGTCTAATGCCGCATACGCTCAATAGGTCTCCCCCGCCGGATGACATCGGCAGGGGGAGGAGCGTGGGCAGACCCTGACCCAGGGCCGAGGGACATCGGCGCTGGATACAGGTAAGTCACTGAAGGGGTTTTAACCGCTTCAGCAACGGTTTGTTTTCCTGGCACTGGAGAGTCCCTTTAATGAGCATCTGAAATGTTTCAGAACGGTCAGTATTGAATTATTTGGAAAAGCTTATTGAATTGAGGCCATGGTTACGAAGTAATCTAGGTTGAAAAAAGATTATCTGATAAATAAGATGTTAACTTAATGCAGGGATGGGAAATTACTATTCCTGGACAACTAGGACATGCTGCTCTGTGTGTGTTTGGAGGGCAGTTTTTTGGTACTTTTAGCCCTGGTAAGAAACACAGCTGTTATATGAAGGACAGGATCAGAGGAGGAAGCTCCAGCAGGTACATACCACAATAATTGCTCCATTGTGGTCCAGCTCTTATTGATAAATCACAGGCAGGAACCAGAGATTCCAAGCATGCACTCTGACTAACTGAGCTCCAGATCATGATGGAGTTATTACTGTGATCACGATGGAGTTAAAGGACCACTATAGTGCAAGGAAAACATACTTGTTTTCCTGACTCTATAGGGTCCTTGGGTCCCCCTCACCCTCTGGGTCCCCCTACCGCCGGGCTCTAGGGGGAGGAAGGGGTTAATCCCTTACCTTCTTTCCAGCACCGGGGACTCTCCTCCTACTTTGCCGTCATCAGCTGAATGCGAATGTGCAGCATGAGCTGTGCGCGCATTCAGCGTGTCTCATAGGAAAGTATTCTCAATGCTTTCCTATGGACACTGGCGTCTTCTCACTGTGAAAATCAGTGAGAAGCTCCTCGAGCTTCTCTGAAACTGCTATGTTTATAGCAGAAAGGGTTAATCCTAGAGGGACCTGCCACCCAGACCTCTTCATTAAGCTGAAGTGGTCTGGGTGCCTATAGTGGTCCTTTAATACAGGAGGTACAAACTTGGGACTGACTGATATAATTTCTGCAGAGTCAATGCCAATACAATTTAAAGGTCACCTTTCGGGCTGATTGCTGATATTCTGTACATTTAAAATTTTGAAAAGGAAACATAATTTCTAAACAAATCCTGCATTAACTAAAAATGCTGTCAGCAATCACACTCCCATCACTCTAAGGCAGCCAGTACATGCTGGGATCACCGAGATCCCAGCACATACAGTGTTGGTACTAATAGAAGTGTGATTGCTAACGTGAGGTTGCCACATGGCACCTCCTTAACTGATGGCTGGAATTTCTGGATGTGAAAGACAGGGCATGTGATTATTGTGAGACCAATTATCAGAGATAAGTCGAATGCAATATTTAAAGGGACACTATAGTCACCAGAACAACTACAGCTTATTGAATCATTACCTTCAGGCTTTTTGCTGTAAACACTGTCTTTTCAGAGAAAATGCAGTGTTTACATTACAGCCTAGTGAAAACTTCACTGGACACTACTTAGATGGCTGTTAGAGATCCTTCCTGGTTCAGTATCTCCTCCCTCTGCATGCAGACACTGAACTTTCCTCATAGAGATTCATTGATTCAATTCATCTCTATCAGGATTTGCTGATTGGCCAGGCCTGTGTTTGAATCATGCTGGCTCTGCCCCTGATCTGCCTTTTTGTCAGTCTCAGCCAATCCTATGGGGAAGCACTGTGACTGGATCAGGCTACCACTTCTGATGATGTCAGCAGACTGCCTGTTTTTTTTTTGGTTTTTTTTAGGCAAACAGCATGCAGAGTTACAGCTTCAGGCCTGAATACAGTAAGATTTTTTACTATATTTATGGAGGCATGAGGGGCCTAGGGGGGGGGCTAGATGGTGGTTTTAACACTATAGGGTCAGGTATACATGTTTGCGTTCCTGACCCTATAGTGATCCTTTAATAATCGGAAGAACCGATAATTGTAGATTATGCTATCTTTAGTGTACATATAATCAGGAGGCAAATATTTTGCTTAACTCTCTTTACTAAACTCTACAGCAGCACAAGTTTGCTTAGCAACAGGTTAACCAATCAGAAAAAACAACAGAGACAACAAAACTTGCTTCCTCTATTGTCACTTCCTCTTTCAAGCTGCAAAATAATATGAAACAGGAACAGAGTAGAGATAGGCAACCAAAGAGACCAGAACGGAACAGGTGAAGAAAATAAGGTGAAAGGAAAAACAATAACCAGACGGATAATCTGCTTCAAGCTTGGCGTCTGTAGGGAACTTTAAACTGAAACGAGAGAACAAAATCGAAAAAAGTAATTAATCTAGGAAATGGACTAGTAAAACGCATGTAAACTTTACAGGAATAAGCACCTCACTATGTTCATAATTAAGGCTACCTTGCAAGTTAATAGACAAGAAATACAAATGCAAGATTAAAACTGATCAGATATAGATACCCACCTTCTCCTAAAAGTCAACTCCCTATAGAAAGAAGGGAAGGGAAATAAAATGGGCGGGAAATATTCGCCTCCTGTCATTAATAAAATTAAGATTATCTGTACACTAAAGCTAGCATAATCTACAATTTTATTACATGGCAGGAGGCTTCATATTTTGCTGTTTTAACGCTTCTCAATTAATGCCATAGAGGCATGTAAAGGAGGACAAAAATAGAACCAATGAAAGGTGTCCTCTTGTGACAAGTCCGCAGAACGTAGAATATCAGAAAGTGAAGCACCTGCCAGAACGACTCCCAAGGCTGCCGCACCTGTAACAGAGTGTGCACCAAAGTAGGGGTCGACACACGCTAACGATAGTAACCACCTGATCCATCGTGCCAAGATGGTGGTAGAGACTGGTTTGTAAGGGCACACGTAGGAAATTAAAAGTTGACCTGATGAGGAGAGGCTGAGGGGAGAATTAATCTCTAAATAAAGGGAGAGAGTAGAAACCACACAGAGTTTGGGAAGGTCGTGGAAATACGGGTAAAAAAACGTAGAAGAGTCAGATTCTGTCCGTCTGGAGATGGAGAAGGTTACTCCATTTGGCTAAATGGAAAAGGACATCAGAGATCCTGCAGAAGAAAACAAGGCAAAGTAGAAGAGTGAGTTTTGCTGAGACTTGTCGAAGGAAAAGATCCTCATCATTCGGCCAATTCCGAAGAAAACAAAGTTCCAAATTCACATCTCGGAGGTATGCATATTTAGGTGCTGGAGGGAGATAGATAATCAATGATCTCCCTCACCGGCCCACAGGCAGGGAGGGAGGCAGGAGAGGACCCGGGAAGCTCTAGCCAGCAGCTCAGTCGGGTTCCTCTCGCGAAGTCTGAGCATTGCCGCGGCACTTGCCCCCCCCCACTGCAATACCGGCACCGACCAGTAGGTGGCGCTGTTTGTGGAGAGAGGCAGGGATAGGAAGCTACATTTTATCCCTGCTTCTCCTGACTGAATTCGCAGGTGAGCAGCACATGCAACCAGGGCTGTCTTTAATACTGATTGAACCCTGGGCAGGTATTTGATTGGGGCCCGTTGACCTAGCCCTCCCTTTCCCTTTCCTAGCATGCAATCACACCATCAACGCCCACACAAAAATAAAAAAACACACACTTAGCCCTCTCATTTCTTACTGAGACAAAATACAAACACTAACACACATACAGATGCAAACTCTAACATACATGGAGATGCACACATACACAGGTACAGACATACATAGAGAGAGACACAGACACACAAGTGCATACACAGACACATGCAGATACACACTGACACACCTACATACACTGATGCACAGATACACTCACTGACAAACATGCAGATAAACAAAAACACTAACACATAAACAAACACACTGACATACATGCAGATACACACAATAACATACAGATACATACATGGACCCGTAGAAAGGAAGATGACTGCAGAGTAAGACTATGCTGACCCTGAAGTCAAAAGTGGACTAAATAGACAGAGAAAATGGGCATAACCCAAAGAAATATGCAATAGAAAAATCCCAAAAGTTGGTGTTATTAGGAGGGAGAGCCAAACTCCAGCTCCCAACACAAGCCAACAGAGGGTGTGCCCATGAGTTAAATTACTCAGAACCCACGGTATAGGAGATGTCAATGAAATGAAAATAAATAAATCTTTTTTCAATTGGTATATATGCTAAAAAATTGTCAAGAGTCGCAATATAGTGTATAATGGTATAGGCGTCTTCAGTGGGTATTAGTAAACCATCCCTCTGTAGGTTTACACTACCAGATATATCAACTTGCAGAAGTATAAGCAACCCTAGTACCAATAAACACAAAGTGGAAAACAAAGTATTAGCCCGAAGGTAATAAAAAGGTTTGAAATAAACCCTTGTTCAAAGATCTATCGAACTTCCTAAATCATACTTGTTCTATACTACAATGGCAGAGCTATCAACAAGAACCCAGAGTGAATTAAAAAAGCCTAAATCCGGCATCTCACTCAATGTGTGTTTCGGCGCTACGTGGCACCTTTTTCAAAAGCGGTAAAGTGGGTCTGAGCCTGCCGAGACTTTTAAGGGGTAAGGACCCGCTCCTTCATGTACGTAATGCGGCAAATCCAGTATCGCCCCATGAGTGGGTGGGCGGAGTAGTAAATGACTAAGTAACAAGTCAATGAAAAAAAGGGGGACCGCCCGGGGATTATGGAATAGATGAACTGAGCGGTCGGGGGAGGAACATGTATAAGTCCCAATGATACATGTATAGTAATGGCATTAGACATACAGGCCATTTTTTTGGAACAAGGGGGTGAATTTGCCATGGCACATACTGCATTCTGTCTGGAACTCGTCGAGTTTATACTCACACATAACTACTTTACTTTTAAAAGAAAATATTACCATCAGATCAAGGGGATTACAATGGGGACAGCCTGTGCCCCATCATATGCCAACCTTCATTTAGGAATTTTGATCCACCACACAGGGATTTCCCAATACCTCCCCCTCATCTATCTTTGGCGTCGTTACATTGACAACGTCCTCATTGTATGGCTTGGTAATCTCGAGGAGTTCAATAACTTCGTCCGGACTCTTAACATCAATGAAGAAAATCTAAGATTTACCAACGAATTTGGGGGCTCAAGCTTAAACTTTTTGGATTTAACGATTTAGATCACAGCTGAAAATAAAATACACACTACTCTTTATCGTAAGCCATCCGCATCTAACAACCTTTTGAGATGGGATAGTTTCCAACCAATACCCCTTAAACAGGGCATCCCAACAGGCCAATATCTCAGGGTAAGACGTAATTGCAGCACCATTGCCGAATTCAATATTAAAGCTAGAGAACTAAGGAGACATTTCAAAGTAAAAGGGTACCCTAACAGATGCCTCAAATGGGCATATCAGAGAGCCCTTGATTCAGATTGTAATAGTTTGATAAGCGAAACGACCGTGAACAAGCCAGCTGAAGACCTCAAGGGGACTATTCGATTAATAGCCACCTATGATGCAGGGTGGGAGAATTTTAAGAGCTCCCTTAGATGCTTCTGGCCATTGCTGACTGGTGATTTACACCTTCAAGAAGTACTGGCCCCAAATGCAGCCATCACCGCCCGCAGAGGTAAAAATTTACGAGACCTGCTGGCTCCCAGCAACTTAAAATCTGGACCCTCCCCCACAACATGGCTCCAGAACCCTTTGGTTGGAACCTATGGATGTGGGAGTTGTATTACCTGCAAACTCATAAAGAGGGACTCTAAGAGAGTGAAAGACAGCAAAGAAAAGGAGGAATTCAAAATAACCTCCTTCTTTAACTGCAACACGGCAGGCATTGTCTATTTACTGACTTGTGAATGTAACAAAAAATATGTGGGAAAAACATTTTGCCCTTTTAAGAAACGTATACAGGAGCACATCAGATCGCCAAAATACCTGACTGAAAATCCCATTTCAAGACACCTTCGTGAATATCATGATAGCGACCCTAAGGGGTTGCGCTTTTGCGTTCTTGAACTAGTCAAGAGGAACACAAGGCGTGGTGAGTACGACAAAGAGAATGCTTCTGGATCTATCAACTTAAAACTTTGAGTCCAAAAGGTCTCAATGAAGGAATTTCATTTTCCCCTTTCCTATAATATAATATTCCGGTCCTACTAAGTAAATTTGTATATATTTGGGAACCACCAAGTGAATATATTTTCATTTATTATTATTTTTTCTCATTTATGTTTACTTTATTTGGTAATTTCAAAACTCTTAAAACCCTTTAAGGTTTTTTTCTGAACTTTAGATCCACACAGTATGGCAAGTACCTTTCACTTTTGACATTAAGATATACATACAGGCTACACTTTTAATTCTGGCTTTAGCTACATATTTACTTTTATTATTATTATTTTTATTTGTGAAACAAGCTTTTAGATGGAACAATTTTTGAGGTTATATACCAATTGATATTGGGAGGCAGTTTATACCGTTCTACTACTCTCCCCATTGTCTACTTTACTCATTTACTCTGGGGTTTAGTTTATATTCAGGCCACAAGGGGGGATTTTGCTATACTTACATTTCCCTCTATAACAGAGGCTTTGAATACTATCCCTAGTTAAACGCAAGACTATCAAGCCACACGGAGGTACCTATTGGCCAGCGTCCTAAGACTAGCTTACTTACCTTACTACCTACATTCTCTGGCAGCTACTTTGTCTACCTACTCTATATATACATCAATTCACACGTTTGCGTATTTTACCCTTCTTAGGATCATTTATTTCCATAGTTTGATATATCTGAGACTCACTAGGTACACTGTATCCAAGACCCAGCTTTAGTGTGTTTTGCATTTTTTTTTCACCTCTTTATTTTATTATTTGGTAGCACTTTCTGGTTATCTATTATAGATAGATTTTTAACATTTCTCTTTTAAAGATTTATTTATTTTCATTTCATTGACATCTCCTATACCGTGGGTTCTAAGTAATTTACCTAATGGGCACACCCTCTGTTGGCTTGTGTTGGGAGCTGGACCTTGGCTCTCCCTCCCAATTACACCAACTTTTGGGATTTTTCTATTGTCTACATACACGGACCCACATGCAGATACACAGATACAGACACTGACACATATACAGATACACAGGCACACATGCAGCTACACATACACACAGCATGATACACAGTCAAATAAACAGAATGACATTCACACAGATACAAACACAGACACACATTCAGATACAAATACACACATACAAATGCACACTGACACACAGGCAGATACAAGGACATGTAGACACACGTGCAAACATACACGCAGATACACATACAAACATATACAGATATGCACATACACATATACAAACAGACACAGAGACACACAGATACACATATATACAAAGACACACATACGGACACACAGAAACACATACTAATACACAGGGTCACATAGAGACACATGTAGATACAGAAACACACACACACATACAAACAGATACACATACAGCTACTTACATACAAACAGATACACACATACATTCAAACAGACACATACATACATACATACATACAGACAGATACATACAGACACATACATACATACATGCACATTTTTTATGTGTTTCCTACATTTGAAGTGCAGGAGGCAGGCTCAGGCTGCCACTCTGACTCCCTCCTCTTCTTCTCCTCCTCCCGCCCGGCGCTCGTGAATGCTGGGAGGAAGTGACTGGTCGTGCTCTGAAAGCGGCCAGGCTCCTGAAAATCTATCGTGAACGGGTGGCCCTTGGAGCATTGGCCACCCGATGAGCCACCACATCGCGTGGCCCGCTGTGGTAGTTCCACGCGGGCCGCACGCACCACGTCAGCCGGAGGGCTAAAGGGGCAGCTGCTTTGGGCCCCCTAAGACTGACTGGGCTCGGGGCAGCTGCCCCTTTTGACCTGTGTAAAAGACGGTCCTGCATGCAGCCAGCAACTCCCAGGCTGCAGAGGCGGCCTACAGATCAGGTGAGTGAGGGATGGGGAGAAGCCTACAGATCAGGTAAGTGAGGGATGGGGGGAGAGACAGCCAGTGATAGGATAGGGGAGACAGCCTACAGGAAGGGTCAGCAAGGAGCAGGAAGGTAACGTAAGAGAAGGAGCAGAAAGGAGAAGAAACAGAAATGTGCAGGAAGCGACATCAAGAAGCAGAACGGGGCAGCAAGGAGCTGGAAGGTGAAGCAAGGAGGACAAAGGTAAAGTAGCAATAAGGAACATAAATGAGCAGAAAGGGGCAACAAGGAGCAGGAAGGGGCAGCAAGGAGCAAGAAAGGTCAGCAAGGAGCAGGAAGGGGCAGCAAGGAGCTGGAAGGTAGGGCAACACAAAGGTAAAATAGAAGGAGCAGAAAGGAACAGAAGGAGAAGGAACAGAAATTATCAGGAAGGGACATCAAGAAGCAGTAAGGGTCAGCAATGAGCTGGAAGGGGCAGAAGGAGCACAAAGTGCTGAGAAGGAGCAGTAAGGAGCAGAAAGGGGCAGCAAGGAGCGCAAAGGTAAAGTAGGAGCAGAAAGGAATAGAAATGAGCAGGAAGGGGCAGCAAGAAGCAGAAAGGGTCTGCAAGAAGCAGAAAGGGGCAGAAGGAGCAGGAAAAGACAGAAGGAGCACAAAGGTGAAGGAGCAGAAAGAATCAGAAGGCGCACAAAGGTAAATTAGGAGAAGGAGCCAAAATTAGCATGAAGGGTCAGCAAGGAGCAGGAAGGGTCTGCAAGGAGCAGGAAGGGACAAAAGGAGCACAAAGGTAAAGTATGAGAATGAGCAGTACGGAGCAGAAAGGGGCAGCAAGGAGCACAAGGGTAAATGAGGAGAAGGTGCAGAGCGGGGCAGCAAGGAGCAGGAAGGGACACCATGGAGCAGAAAGAGTCAGCAAGGAGCTGTAAAAGGCAGCAAGTAGCAGGAAGGGATAGAAGGAGCACAAAGGTAAAGTAGGAGAAGGGGCAGAAAGGAGAAGGAATAGAAATGAGCAGGATGGCACATCAATGAGCAGAAAGGGTCAGCAATGAGCTGGAAGGGGCTGAAGAAGAACAAAGGTAAAGTAAGATAAGGAGCAGAAATTAGCAGGAAGGATCAGAAAGGAGCAGGATGGGTCAGCAATAAGCAGGAAGGGGCAGCAAGGAGCACAAAGGTAAAGTAGGAAAAGGAGCACAAAGCAACATAAATGAGCAGGAAGGGGCAGCAAGGAGCAGGAAGGGTCTGCAAGGAGCAGGAAGAGTCTGCAAGGAGCAGGAAGGGTCAGCAAGAAGCAGGAAGGGTCAGCAAGAAGCAGGAAGGTAAAGCAACACAAAGGTAAAATAGAAAGAGCAGAAAAGAACAGAAGGAGAAGGAACAGAAATTATTAGGAAGGGACATCAAGAAGCAGAAAGGGTCAGCAATGAGCTAGAAAGGGCAGAAGGAGCACAAAGGTAAAGTATGAGAAGGAGCAGTAAGGAGCAGAAAGGGGCAGCAAGGAGCGCAAAGGTAAAGTAGGAGAAGGAGCAGAAAGGAATAGAAATGAGCAGGAAGGGTCTGCAAGAAGCAGGAAGGGTCTGCAAGAAGCAGAAAGGGGCAGAAGGAACAGAAAGAATCAGAATTAGCACAAAGGTAAATTAGGAGAAGGAGCAAAAATCAGCATGAAGGGTCAGCAAGGAACAGGAAGGGTCTGCAAGGAGCAAGAAGGGACAGAAGGAGCACAAAGGTAAAGTATGAGAATGAGCAGCAAGGAGCAGAAAGGGTCAGCAAGGAGCGCAAAGGTAAAGTAGGAGAAGGAGCAGAAAGGAATAGAAATGAACAGGAAGGGGCAGCAAGAAGTAGAAAGGGTCTGCACGGAGCAGAAAGGGGCAGCAGGAGCAGGAAAAGACAGAAGGAGCACAAAGGTGAAGGAGCAGAAAGAATCAGAAGGAGCACAAAGGTAAAGTAGGAGAAGGAGCAGAAAGAAACAAGAAGGGACAGCAAGGAGCAGAAAGGGGCAGCAAGGAGCTGGAAGGGGCAGAAGGAGCACAAGGGTAAAGGAGGAGAAGGTGCAGCGTGGGGTAGCAAGGAGCAGCAAGGGACATCAAGGAGCAGAAAGAGTCAGCAAGGAGCTGTAAAGGGCAGCAATGAGCAGGAAGGGACAGAAGGAGCACAAATGTAAAGTAAGAAGGAGCAGAAAGGAGAAGGAACAGAAATTAGCAGGAAGGCACATCAAGGAGCAGAAAGGGTCAACAATGAGCTGGAAGGGGCAGAAGAAGCACAAAGGTAAAGTAAGATAAGGAGCAGAAATGAGCAGGAAGGAGCAGAAAGGAGCAGGATGGGTCAGCAAGAAGCAGGAAGGGTCAGCAAGAAGCAGGAAGCAAGAAGGAGGAAGGCTCTGCAAGGAGCAGAAAAATGCAGCAAGGAGCACAAAGGTAAAGGAGCAGAAATAATCAGAAGGAGCACAGAGGTAAAGTATGAGAAAGAGCAGAAAAGGGTAGCAATGAGCTGGAAGGGGCAGAAGGAGTGCAAAGGTAAAGTAGGAGAAGGAGCAGAAAGGGTCTGCAAGGAGCAGAAAGGAAGCAGAGAGAGAAAGGAGCTGAAGGGCGCAAAAGAAGCAGAAAGTAGTAGAAAGAGCAGAGAAGCCAAGGAGGAGAGAAGACAGGAACAGGAAGGGACAGCAATGAGCAAAAAGGACAGAAAGGGACAGCAAGGATCAAAAAGGGCAGAAAGGGGCAGCAAGGAGCACAAAGGTAAAGTAGAAGGAGCAGAAAGGATCTGAAGGAGCCAAGGAGGAAAGAAGAGAGTGTCAGAAGAAAAAGAAGACTGTGTCAAATGAAGGAGAAGAAAATAGATTGGAGCAGGAAGGACAGGTGAAGTAAACCCTCCACTGTATTATGGACACCACATAAGGCTTTGGTACCTGGGCCTGGCAGGGAAACTTTGGACCTGCTCATCTCCCCAGGTAAAAAAATTATCAGTGTTAATGTGTTCACTTTTTTTTACTGAGAGTCAGGAAGCACAGAGTGCTGCTGGGTAGGGGTGCCGCTGATTGGCTAGAGCGGTCAGCTGGCACTCTAATCCAATCAGTAGCTCCCCATTCATAAAAAAGTAAAACATTTTTATGAACCAGGAACTAGCGATTGGCTTAGAGCATCAGCTGACCACTCTAGTCAATCAGCAGCACCCATACCGGACGTCAATTTGCACTTCCTGACACTCTGTTTCAGAAGCCGAAAACCACTGAGTGATCTGGAGATCTGGAGGTTGAGGAAGCCTTTGGGGTTAAACCATTAAAGAGCAGTTTAACCTCTTAAAGGAAATAGAGCACCCAGGGGCTTCCTGGCATCATAGCATCTTCATTTAGATGAAGTTGTTATGGTGACCAGAATGTTCCTTTAATTTGCTTAAGTGTTAGAAATACAAACATGCATTTCTGACACCATAGTTGTGAAAACGCTATTCACCCTGGCTTTATTTGATAATGACTGTAACAGATCCCCTGGTATTGCCTGGCCAACAGACTTGGAACATTATAACCACTGGATTTGTTACTGTTGTTATATTTCACATACGAATGGGAAAACGAATGACACTGCTAGCCCATTCGTATGAACGAACAAACTACTGAACCAGAGACCACCCAGCCCAGGCGTGTGCCGCCAATTAACTCCTTGACTCTGTGCCAGACCACAGCCCGCACACCGCAAACGTTCTAAGTGGTTCACTGGGTGGCCACGGATCCGTGGCGACGGCCATCTTGTTGTCGAATGATTTTCGGACACTCAAACTCCCGAACACCGCTGAGACTTCCAGGACCACTTAGTTTCGCACAGGTTTATACAAACAAGACAGCATTCGGTAGAAGTATTCCACGAACGAGGCGGCACACGACCAGCAAAGACACGAACAATAAAAAGCATTACTGTTTGGTATTTAAATTTTACAAAAAGGGACCGTCCGCACCAGCTGAATGTATGCAACTATTTTGGGCAGGAGCCTTGTGTGCGGCCGGGCAGGGATGAGACTTCCAGCTACCTCCTGAACCTCTGAACCGATTTGTATGATTTTTGAATATGTTTGTTCCCTAATTATTCTTGTTTTGAAAATGTAAGATTTCTTGGAATTGAATGTATAGTTTTGATGTTATAAAAATTGAGTAAAAAGTATATTTTTCGCTTGGAGATAATTGAGCGGATACAGCAATTAACTCAATTATCTCCCAAGCAGAGGGGAGGAACATACAGTAATGAATCGGAGTGTTTAACTGTGTAACTGTAAATGATTGGTTGTTGAGTTTGTGTTTTTGGTGCCCAACAAGGTCCACATGGGTGGTAACCTTGTGTGAAAAGTTGTATAAAAGAAATGCTTGTGTGCCCATTAAATCAGTTCCTGCGTAGAGTAAGTGCTGACTGAATGGAGAACCAGTATGCAAAGCTGAAACGACCAACGCTAAAAGATTTGCTAGAAAGACAAGCACGGAGCGCCAGTAACCGACCGCGGAAAGAATCGTTAACCTACTGGAGTTAGACAAAATGAATCGGTCGATGGAAATAGCCGAACCAAATGTCCCGAACACCGAGGAAGATGACATCATGCGCATCGTTCGGACAAGGCTAACAATGTATGGGCCAACATCGTCAGAGGAACGTCCCTTTTGCAGCCTTCAAGGCTTTTGTGGAAAATGAGGACATGCAATGGGCCTGCCGGTTGCACAGAGTGGCATCCCACTGGATTAAGGGTTGCCATGCCAATACCAGAGAAGAAGTGTTACAGCTATTTTTAATGGAACATTTCTTCAGTGAATTGCCTACCGGACTACAGGACTGGGTGCGAGACCGCCGTCCCCTCACCCTAAAGGATGCTGCCCGGTTAGCAGACGAATTAGCTGAAAACAAGATAAATACCCCAAGCCCACTTGCCCGCTTGGAAACTAGGGCTCCTGTTCCTACCCTTTGCCTGGAGTTCCGTGCTCCGGTACCCCTGGACCCTCTCGCTACCAAGGATCACCAAATTACCCCCGGGACTACTCCAAGACACAATGTCGTCAGTGCCACAATGTAGGGCACATCATTAAGAACTGTCCAATTTGTAGCTGCCCCTCACCCAGAGCAGATACTACAATCCCCCGTATCCCAGCGGTTCATTGCATGGAAACCAAACTGGGTACAGAGGAATGCCTGCATCGCCAGAAAACCAACAAAAGCACCGACAAGAGGTACGGGTGAACGGGCAAGTAGCCCAAGGCCTGCGGGACACAAGCGCCACCAACACTCCAACGACGCTTGGTCAAACCAGAGAACTTGTTCAAACACACCGTGGCTGTAAGAGTCGCCGGAGGAGCTGTCTTTCGTCTCCCTACTGCCCGGGTGCACCTGGACTGGGGAGTCGGGTCTGGCAAGACCACAGTGGGCGCCTGTCGTTGCACCTACCAGTCTTGTTGGGCAACAACATTGGGCCCCTGGCTTCAGCCTATTTGCCTATTCCAGCCGTAACAACTTGCCCTGTGACCACCTGTTCCCAGGCCCGCTGTGCAGAAAACGACTCACCAGGATGGGACACCAAGGTAAGCACCACACCGACTCCTCCCCTGACTGTAGCTAGTAAGCCCTTAGCTTGGGATACCCCTGAGGAATTTGGGAGGGAAACCAGAGAGGACCCCTCCCTCCAGACATACAGAAAGAAAGCTGAGACCGGGGGGGATGAGCACGAAAGGTTTATCTGGGACAAAGAGAGACTCTACCGGTTAACCGAAGGTAGAAAGAGAGGATGTGCCCCTTCCCTCCTGTGAAGCAGCCTTCCAAGCCCTAAAGAACGCTTTGATCCACGCTCCTGTGTTAGCTGCCCCAGTCCCTAACAAACGCTTTGTTGTTCACGCAGATGCCTCCATGTACGGACTGGGGGTAGTTCTAAGCCAGGTCGGAGAAGATGGAGGGGAGCACCCTGTCGGGTACATTAGCCGGAAATTGTTACCTAGGGAAGTGAGCTACGCGGCAGTGGAAAAAGAATGCCTGGGCTCTAAAGAAACTGACTCCCCATTTATATGGCCAGGAACCGAGTTGCAGGGGACAACGGCCGGCAATTGCCATGGAGCTTGGCACTACAACCTTACAATTTTTCCATCCAGTATCGGCTTGCCAAGCAAAACGGCAACACTGACGGGTTCTCCAGGCAAACGGAACTTATGCCCTAGCAGCGGCCCAGACATCCCCAGGCTGACCCGAAAAGGATCAAACCAGGTCTGCTAGGGTTTTCCACAAAAGGGGAGCCATGTAACAGATCCCCTGGTATTGCCTGGCTATGACTATGGGTTGCCTACTTTTACAAATGGTATGCAACAATGGGGTTAATTCACATTCCTGGGCAAACCTGAATGTATTTATTCCAGTGCAAATACATATCAATTAACAGTTTTAAGATGTTCAAAAGTTACTTTATTTATATTACATTTTGTGTTGTAAACAGATTTGATATGCATAAGGCATTGACCTTTATAAACAGAGTGAATTGATACATTTAAGCAAGAAAAAAGTATTGCTATTGCAAGGTATAATAAAATAAGGCAACATGCTTCTTATTTGTCATTTATGAGTAGCTGAAAACACTTTTTCAGCTACAGAGGAAATGATGGCTAAGGATTATAAAGTTAATATTTTCTAAGTAGAAATAAAAAATGTACTGGGGGCGGGGCCTTGCACCCAAGATGGAAGGACATGTTTTTCAAGAGCTCCTGATAAAATGAGTTATAACTCAGAGAATCCTGCTGATAATCCTGCTACCTCGGTTTATGTAAACAATCTGACATTTAGGTGAAGTGCTACTTACTGCGCTCAGAAACAAGTGACCACTGAGCAGCAACCTTGTCCGTTCCTGAGGCCTATTCCTACATCTGTCCATACACAGGACCATGGTGGTAAACAAAGACCAGTAGCTTACTACTCAACCAGACTGGACCCTGTTGCCAGGAGTACCCCCTCATGTGTAAGGGCAGTGGCGGCTGTTACTGCCCTCCTGGTCAAAGCCACTTATATTGTCTTAGATAACCCAGTGACAATATACACACCGCATGACATCAACAACATACTGTCACAAGTTCAACCAAAACACATACAAACTTCAAGGCATCTCAAAATGCAATGTGTCTTGCTTATGCCACCTAATGTTACTCTGAAAAGGTGTATGGTGTTATATCCATCTACATTACTTCCCCTGTATTTAAAAGAGGGGAGTGGGGATAGTGGGAATGGTACTTGTATTTCTGATCTTTTTGTAAATTCACTTTCACCAGATGAGTTAGCTGACGCCCAGGTACCCCATGATTGTGCAGCACAAATGGCACAAGAGACAGCAGGTTTTGTCGCATGTAATTAATTCTCCATTATCTAATGCAGATTTTTAGTTTTTTGTAGATGGTTCCAGATATGCTGATGAGAAGGGTAATTTCCACACCGGATATACTGTAGTCTCTGCACATGAGGTAAAAGCTTAACCACTCGCTTCTCACTGCTCTGCACAGGAGGCTGAGCTGAGGGAACTCGCTGAAGCGTGTAAAATGGCCTCTGGTAAGACTGGTAATATTTATAAAGACTCTCGCTATGCCTTCGGTATATGATTTTCCGTCATCATATAGCGGGCTCGTGATTTTCTCACCCCAGATGTATCCCATAGTTCCTAGACTTGCCTTGCATCTCCAGTACTTTTCTGATATATTCAGGCTGAATTTGTGTAGTCGTACCGGTGCTAAATACCACCTATGTAGTAGTTTTTTGGCTAGTTCTATGTGTCTTGAGCAGAGAGAGAAGGCTTTAGAAGTCAAAATCGTTTGTTCCTATTCTGGTTCCTCAAATGTTTTATTAAACTCCTTTTCCCATGCTTTAATAAAATTATGTTCCCGCAACATGTGTTTTGTGGGTAGTGCTGCGTATATAGAGGAGATGGTTTTCTGGGGGGGTTTTGTCCCCATGTACATTGTTTCAAACCCTGTCAGCTGGTTCTCCGGGGTGGTGGAGGGATTTTCCTGGTTCTGTGTGTGTAGCCATGAGTTTAATTGGCGATATGAATAGTGCGCTATCCCTGGTATTTTGTAAAAGCATTGTAAGTCAGCAAAGGGCGCTAGATTGGCGTTTGTGAGCATTTGGTACAAGAAGTATATACCGTGCCTCTCCCATATTCTGTAATTGAAATCTGGGATGAGGCCTGTCAGTGATTTTAGTGGCATGGCCCTGGAAATGGGTGAGTTGCTCGTTAAGGCTTTCTGGTTTATGTCCCAGATTTTTAAGGTCAGACTAGTGGTTAGGAGGCAGTTCGTGATTTGTGTTCTTTTTGTTGTTGGGATCCACACTAGATTATCAGTGCTTATGTTTTCTGCCCATTCGGATTCTAAGTTTTTCCATTGTGGTTCTTGATTCTCTGGTCTGGCCTGTATTATACTACTTAGAATAGTTGCATGATAGTATTGTATGAAGTTTGGCATGCTCATTCCCCCCTTCATTTATCGGCTTATGCATGATTCTTAATGCTATACAGGCTCTCTTTTCACTCCACACAAACCTTGTTACCCATCATTGGAGCGTGTTAAAGTAAATTTGAGGTATTTGTATCGGTAGGGATCTGAATAGGTATTGTAATTTAGGGAGGATTATCATTTTGACTGCTGCTATACGACCTGGCCAAGATATGGATGATTTTTTCCAGTCTTGCAGTTGTTTTTTTATGTCTATGAAAATGTTGCCATAATTAGAATTGAATAGTGCAGTGTGCAATTTTGTAAAGCATATGCCTAGAAATTTGATCGTAATTGTATGTTTTTTTCAGTCTGTGAGTCACGTCCTGGGGGAGTCCCTTGCTTAGGGCTTATGTCTTGGAGATATTCAATTTATTGTGGGATAGTTTGCTGTATGTTTCTAGGATTTAATGGAAGTGTGGTAAGGAAGTTTCTGGGTTTTGTATTGTCAGGAGTATGTCGTCTGCGAAAGGTGAGTTTGTGTTCTTTGTGTCATGTTTTAATGCCAGATATTGATGGGTGCTGTCTAATGAGAGCACCCAGTGCCAGTACATACAAGAGGGGTGAAAGAGGGCATCCCTGTCGGGTAACAATTGTGATGTTAAATGGGTTGGAGAGAAATCCGGCATTGGCTATTCTAGCGGTGGGGTTGCTATAGAGTGCTTGCAAAGTGTTCATAAATGCCGGCGGGAATTCAAATTTTGTTAGCACTGCCCTGAGAAAATTCCAGTTTAGCCAGTCAATGGCTTTTTCTAACGATAGGAACAAGCTGCCTGCGTTTTGTCTTTGAAATCTATGTGTGAGGTTCAGGACTTTTCTAGTGCCGTCCGTTCCCTGTCTGCCAGTCACAAATCTCACTTGGTCTTCATGCACTAGTGTGGGAAGTATTGTGGCCAATCTATTGGAGTATATTTTTACTAACAACTTAATATCTGTGTTTAAAAGCGAGATTGGGCGTAAATTTTGTCCTTTATCCGGTATTTTCCCCAGTTTAGGTAATGTGGCTACGTGAGCTATGAGCATCTCTGGTGGCATAGTTCCCCTGCGGACAATATGATGAAATGCCTGTTGTATGTGTTGAATGAGTGTGGGGGCAAAGGTTTTGTAATAGTAGTTCGTTAGGCCATCTGGCCCCAGAGATTTCCCTGTGGGTAGGCGGGAGATTGCCTGTTGCAATTCTTCCGTCGTGATTTGTTTAGATAGGGTATTTTTTTGTGATTATCTTTGGAGAGTATATAAGGGATTTGGGCATTAGATTGCTTTTGCGCAGCATGTTGGCCATTAATTTACTGGCTTTGTTTCCTTGGGCATAGTGTGTCATTTTAAATTTTTGTAGGGTATATGCTGTTTTTTGGAATTGGTGTTCATTGATTTTAGCAGTTATAATTTGAATTTTTGTCAGGAGGTCTTGTTGTTTCGTTTGGTAATAAGTTTGTGTGGTGTCTCTCAGTTCCTTAAGGAGGTTCATTGGTGTGGCTCATCTTTGTCTATTAATATAAGATGCCCTACGGATCAGCAGTCCCCATATGACTAGTTTGTGTGCTTGCCACAATATCGGGGCAGTAATTTGGGGGGGTGTTAGTGGCAAAGTAGTGTTTGAGTTCCTGCTCTATTGAGGAGGTGAATTCCTGGTCATGTTTAACCTCCACGATTCCTTGCCTTTATTGGGGAATGCATCTGTGAGCGTCAAAGTCAGTGGTGCATGGTCAGACCATGTTATGTCTCTGTGTATGCATCGGTGTGTTTGTGGGGAGCCCTGTGTTGGTCGTGAAGAAATAATCGATCCTTGAATGTGTTTTATGCACGGGAGAGTTGTAGGTATAGTCTACATCTCTAGGATGCAATGTGCACCAGATATCGTACAGATTGAATTGGAGTAGAAGTTTGTTGAGTTGAATGCAAGCTGATCTTAGGGCTCTTGATCTTGGGGTTGCCGTGTCGAGTGTAGTGTCTGTGTCTAGAATGTGATTCAGGTCTCCGCAGCATATTAATATACCCTGTTGTATGTTGCTCATTTTAGTCAATAAGTGTTGTAGGAATAGTTTCTGGTTGTCATTGGGTGCATACATGTTAACAATTGTGTTAATTGCCTCGTGATGAGAGATGCATTTCCTCTTTAATACTTATATAAAATTTGTATATGATTAATAGCTTTATACCTAACTTTTTTCTCATTTTCTATATTGTATGTTAACAATTGTGTAGGTTACGTTGTTGAGGTTGCATTTGAGAATTAGGTACCGTCCTTTACTGTCTTTAATTATTATGAGTGGTTCGTACGCCACTGATTGGTGTAACAGGATGCTGACTCCCCTAGATTTGTGATTGTGTGTGGAGTGGTATTGATGTGGGTATTGTTTGAGGCCCATAGATGGTGTTTAGAGCGTTGGAAGTGGGTCTCTTGGAGACAGATTACATCTGCATTTTGTTTCTTCAGTTCCGTCATCAGCAGTTGACATTTTTGGGGGGAGTAGAGTCCCCAGACATTATGTGAGTATATTTTCTTTAAGTGTTTGTTCCATTGTGAGCATGGTGTTGGCCTTTGGGGAATGTAGTCTATAACTCCGAAATGGTAGATAGTGACATACCAGTGCGAATAGACGGATTTGTAGGGTGTTGAGTGTGCATGTGTGTGTCATTGTGTCCCAGGGGTGGAATCGGTTTATTGTGTGCTTCTTAGAGTGGTGATCTCTGGTCGTTAAGGTTTGTGGATTCACTTCCGTTAGGCCGCCTTTTTGGACTGTCTGTTTTATTTTGGGTGAATGTGTACCATGGTCTTTCGATCGATTTGTAACCTGGTATGGAGGTGGTGGTGACTTGGGGGAAAACAAGACTCTCATGGAGAACTCAACTATATACATTAGTGCCCCGATGTTGGGCTCAGTACTCGTGGTTGGTACCGTGGGGGAGGTGAGCATGCGTGTGTTGCTCACTGAGGAGGCTACCTGGGCTCCTCTATTGTTTTGGTGTTGTGTGAAGGCTCCAAATTACATCTGAGACCGTCCTTGTATTTATTCTTCGAGCATAGTGTGCCTAAGGCGACAGTGGTACTTCCTACTTTTCTTTTTTTAGTATGATTTGTAGTACCTGTGTACTAATGGTCTGCCACAGGGTTTTGAGGGTTGAATGAGACATATATACATATATATATATATATATATATATCCTGTAACAATACAATATTCGCATTCATTGACATAATACAGCATCAACATATAGACATCTTTCCCATTGGTCTGTAGTATACCATTGTGTGTCCCCACGGTGCAAGGGAGGTGGTTTGTGTGGTGTCCTTAGTCCTCTCACCGTGTATTCATCAAACACTTGTGTGTATGTGGGGTTTGCCGGGCTTTGTATCATGGAATTATAGTGTGTGGGGTAGATGTTTTAGTTGCGTCATATAGCTGTTTAGTGATTTTATTTTCGATTAATTTTAATTAATTTTTTTTTGCAGTTATTTACATTATGGTTAGGTGTAGCCGTACATTGAGGTTGTACCTGTATGTCTTCTGTTGAATTATGGGAGTCAGTAGTTACATGTGGTTACCATTGTCTCCCCCTCTTGCCTGCCGATTCATGTTCTATCGTTAGGATAATGTGTCCGCCTATGCATGGTAGGGTTGATTGGCAGTCATAACCCTCAGTGTATGGGTGGTAATTATTGATTCCTCGAGGTGTTAGGGGGTGCATATACGTTAGGCACGGTACGGGCCTCTGCGTTTCAGGGTTTTGATATGTGTGAGTGGAATGTGACTATTGTGGGTCATGTATTGAAGGGTTACATTAAGAATAACATATTTAACACTGGAGAGAACGTAATAAAACATAACAGGTTAATTTTTCAAATACTTTACCAGCCCTTGTGTGCTAGGACATGGTTGTTACTTATATTGGCTGGTATCAGTTCATGTTTGGTAGGCCTTCTGCCATTCCCTCAGTATTGTGGCGGTCTCTCGAGGCGCCAGGTCCGGGCAGGGCAGGTTCCATTTTCTGAGAAGTCTGTCTCCATCTTCTGGTGAGAGTATAGTTTCTGTCGTTCCATTCTTTGAGATGAGGAGTTTGAGGGGATATCCCCAGCGGCAGAGAACTTGGTGCTGCCTGAGGATGCTGGTGGCAGGTTGGAACGCTTTCCTCCTCCTTAGCGTTACCGCGGATAGGTCCGGGAACACCTTGATTTTATTGTATTTCACAGGTAAGTTCTTGTTAACTCTGCTCTGCCTTAGGATAAGCTCCTTCACGTGGTGATAATGGACACATATGATTACGTCCCTGGGGACCGTGTCTGGCAGATGTCGGGGTTTAGGCACTTGATGCGCTCTGTCTAGAAGGAGCATGGCGGACGGTGTGTCCGGTGACAGTGCATGAAAGAAGTCGTGGAGGTAGGCCTGTAATTCTGCCAGTGTCACTGTCTCTGGGATCTCTCTCAGTCTCAAGTTATTTCCGTGTGCTCTGTCTTCAACATCCATTAATTTATTTTCCATGTTGTATTGTTTACTTGTGCTGCTAAATGATTGTGAGCGTCCGTCCTCTCCTCCATTTTCTCCTCCACACGGGATGTTCTAACCCCTAGGTCTCCTATATCTTTTTTCAGGCACGCCAGGCCTGCTGTCCAGCCGGCCATCATTTTACTTGAAAAGGCTTCCAGTTGTCCCAGGAGCAACTGTTTAGTAACAGTCTTCTCCATCGCCTGATCAGCCACGTCGTTAGATTGACTCTCTCCATCTGAGTCCTCCCCGCCATCTTGTTGGTGCGACTGCACCGTTTGCTTTGATGATGGCGTATTTTGGCCGAAGAAGTTATGCTTGTCGGCTTTAGCTGTTTGCCTCTTTTGTTTAGGCTGAGACATGATGTGGTAATGGTAGTATGGGTCATCTGTAACCTGGTTTAATCGCCGTTTTTCAGAGCCCATGTGCAGGAGCTAAAGATTATGTGGCCATCTTGCTCCGCTGGTAGCCACGCCCCCCCATGTTGGTCTTTTTTAATGTAATTGTTCAAGAGACCCTAATACTGAATCCCTATTTTGCCCCACTTGGTGGAAAAATACCACGAATTCTAGAGCCCTGAGCACCACTATGAATTGTACAGAGAATAGAGCAGCCATTGACTACTTACTAATGAAACGTGACTTAGGCTGTAAAGCTATTGAAGGTATGTGCTGTTTTAACCTATCTGACCATGGCACTGTGGCAAACCAGCCACTCGGACTATAACTGGACACTATGCCTTTAAGGGTTGCCTATAGGTCTGGAGAGAGATGCGTTGTACCTGTATGTGCCTGCTTCATGTATTCCCTGCATTGCCTGTACCTATCTGTTCCGCCGAATGCAAATGGCGGTTTGTATGGGGATTCTCGTTCGTTTCACGAACGGCACTTTGGAGGGCCGTTCGTGAAACGAATGCGATACCCCCTAATAGCCCACACACTTAGAGGCGTGTGGCGCTAGTTAACCGATTGCAACATTGTTGCAATCGGTTATTAGAGGCTCTCCTGGGTGGCCGTCGTTCGACTACCGACCATGCGGCGGTCGGCCATCTTGGATCCTTTGTTCCCTCAGCGGGGTTATGTCGTCGAGCGCCTGGTACTAAAAACGGCTACTCGACGGCATGAGCCCCGCTGAGCCTCCAGGACGTTCGGGAGTTTCGGGACGTTCGGTATTTTGTTCCCTAATAGCAATCGGTTCTTTTTGTATGTTTTATATGAATTGTGTTGTTCGTGCGGCGTTCGGTTATTTTAGCTGGGATCTGAGCGGTAACCTCACGAATGATACCCTCAGACCCCAGCTATCTGCCGAACGTCCATTCGTGTAAATCCACTATATATTCACCAAGTTATTGATTTTTATGCGAATTATCGGTTCTGCTGCACGAGGGGATAGTCCACTTAACGGTGCATTCTGGGAAGACTATCCCTCTCGTACAGCGGTGCCTGATGAGAGAAATATGGTGTAATGTAAGTCCCCCATGTAGTCCCCTCCTGTACAACCCCTGTAATGTCAGTTTGGAAACCCCTTGCATGGGGAATTGCATAAATACTGTGACCTGTGATTAAAACCTCAGTTGACTCCCAGCCTATGTGTCGTCTAGTTCTTGGGAAGGAAGGGTTACTGCAGTGCTGTTTGGATTAATATATGCTGATTCACTGGATTATCCTTTGTTGTTCCTGTTACCCAGCGGAGATATCGTGGATTATACTGCCTCTCCGCTACAATTGGTGGCAAGCGACGGGATTGAATTTACACAGCAAAGCAACGTTCGGCAGATTTTTAAACGAATCAAGGAACAAGCATTCGGGAATTAGCGCATTCGAATAAACCTCACGAACAGCAGGTGAATGGGAACAGATTACGCCCTGCTAAAACGGAGCACATTAAAGGAGCTGCTGGAAGCAAGAGGAGCAATCGCCAGTAACAAGGCAAAGGCTGTCCTAATTACGGAGCTCATGGAAGGAGACAGAGCCGCAGCTGCTGCAGCACCTCGAATGGAGGGACAAACCCACGAATTTACAGCGGAATTCCGAGCACGAATGGCTTTATTTCCTGAACCCCCATCTACAGAGATGATTAACCGGCTGTTCGCTGATGTACAGGAGTACATTATGGCTAGGGGACCGCCAGGGAACCAGCAAGCCGGGGAAAGAGCCGCAACGCCAGTCCATATTTTCCCAGGGAAAGCCAAAATCCCATATCAAGCCTTCAAAAGCAATGTAGAGACAGAGGGTGGCGTTGACGACTATTTACAGGATTTCGAGAGACTGTGTTTGCTGCACGAAATTAATGATGCAGACAGAGTACCCCTACTAGCGGGGAGATTATCTGGGCGAGCCGCCGAAGCGTACCGGGCAGTACCAGACGAGGATAGTAGAGACTACGCTAAAGTAAAACGGGCCATCCTAGCCCGGTATGCCATCACATCAGAGGCATACCGAAAGAAGTTTCGGGACATTAAAAAACCCACTAAGGACACCCATGTGGAATGGGCGCACCAGCTGCAACGAGCTGCCAAGGGGTGGCTGGAGGCCGCCCAAGTTGATACATTGGAGGGTCTGTTCCAGCTAATGGTACTGGAACAATTCTTCAATGGCGTCCCGACCTACCTACAAAACTGGATCCGGGACAGAAAGCCACACACCCTGCAGGAAGCGGCTAATATGGCAGACGATTTCCAGGACAATCGGAGAGATCAACCCATACCAACCCGAGCCACCATCCCCCCTACAACGACCAGCCCTCCAGGGGGCCCCGCAACTACCAGCGACCAGGGGTAAACCAGAATTCCTACCCCCCCAGATATTCAGCACGTCCACCAATCCGGTGCCATACCTGCAACCAACAGGGGCACATCCAGAGAGACTGCCCACGGAACCGGCCTCGACCCAGCTGGAATAACGCCGCCCCGAGCAACCGTGCCGCAGTCCATTGTCTACAGGCCGAATCCTACCAAAATCTGGAGTTGGGGACAACCCGGGAGGAACCCCTCAGCACTCTACACGAGGTGAACCCTATCCAGGCCGCCTCCGATAACCGCCAAGGGCACCGCCAGGAAGTACACATGGAGGGGAGGAAAGTACAAGGACTTCGTGACTCGGGAGCCACCCTAACTCTAGTACGCAGTCATCTGGTACCAAAGCCCAAGCTCACGGGGGACTGTGTGGCTGTGCGGGTGGCTGGGGGAGCCATTTACAAAGTACCCACGGCCAAGGTGCACTTGAATTGGGGAGCGGGGCACGGGAATGTATATGTGGGGATGATGCAAGACTTGCCAGCGGATGTGATTTTGGGCAACGATTTGGGGGAGCTGACTTCAGCTTTTGTTCCACAGCCCACCGTACAAGAAGCATACCCGGTTGTGACCCGGCAACAGGCCCGCACCACTGCACCATCCGAACACTCTGAGGCTCAGGTAAGCAATGACCCTCCCCTACCCCCTATCATGCCCTGGGCCAATTCCATAGAGTTCGGGGCCGAAGTAGCCCTAGATCCTTCGTTACAGGTATACAAAGACCGCATGGATAAAAATCAAGCCGGGTTAGAGGGGGAAAGATATATCTGGGACAAAGGACTACTATATCGGCACGCAGAGAAGGTAGTGTCCGGGTCAATACCGTTGCCCATTAAACAGCTAATAGTGCCTCGAAAGTATAGGTTAGAGCTGTTACGCATAGCCCATGATATCCCTCTGTCTGGACACCTAGGCATCAGTCGGACCAAACACAGGCTGACCCAAAATTTCTTTTGGCCAGGTATTTCCCAGGATATTAAGCGATATTGTCAGACCTGCGATACCTGCCAAAGGGTAGGCAAGAGGGGGGACAGATACAAAGCCCGACTACGGTCTCTGCCCATCATTGAAGAACCATTCAGTAGGGTGGCAGTAGACATCATAGGTCCCCTTGCAAAACCCAGCCCCTCCGGCAAGAAGTATGTCCTAACTGTGGTGGACTACGCCACCCGGTACCCTGAGGCAGTGGCCCTAACGAACGTACACGCAGAAACGGTAGCCGAGGCCCTGATGAGGATATTCACCCGGGTAGGATTTCCCCGGGAGATTATCTCCGATAGAGGCACCCAGTTTACTGCTGAAGTGACCCATCAGCTCTGGAAAATATGTGGGATACAACAAATCCTCAACTCCCCATATCACCCCCAGTCCAATGGGCTCTGTGAACGGTTTAACGGAACCCTGAAACAAATAATCCGCACGTTCATGGACACCCAAAAAGACTGGGAGCGGTTTTTACCCCACCCACTGTTCGCATATCGAGAAGTGCCGCAAGAATCCACCGGATTCTCTCCGTTCGAATTATTATTCGGGAGGAGAGTGAGGGGACCTCTTGACTTGATACGGGAACACTGGGAGGGAGATGAAACCATTAATGGCACCCCTATCTTACCATATGTGCTCGAGTTCAGGGAACGCCTGGAGAGGCTAACCCAGACCGTCCGAGACAATCTCCAGGTAGCGCAACAACGACAGCGCCGATGGTATGATAAGGGAGCCAGGGACCGCAGCTTCCAGGTGGGGCAGAAAGTCCTAATCCTGCGACCCGTCCACAAAGATAAGCTGCAGGCTTCCTGGCAGGGCCCATACAAAGTGGTGGAACAGATCTGTGACACCACCTATGTGATCGGCCCGGTTACCGGCGTGGGAGGCAAACGCATGCTCCATGTGAACATGCTCAAGCCATACCACGAACGTACTGAGGAAGTCACCGCAATCTGTGCCCCTGCCATGGAAGATTTTGATAACCTACCCCTACCCGATCTCCTAGACCAAGAGGGCCAGAGCGGAGATCTGGGAGAGGTACAGTTAGGAGAAAGATTAAATGCCCAAGAACGGGCCCAGGTACAAAAGTTGCTTCGGGAAAAGAAGGCCACGTTTTCCAATTTACCCGGCTATACCCCGTTGGCTACCCATAAGGTAGAAACGTTAGATCCGACCCCCTTGCGCCAACCCCCATACCGCACTCCAGAAGCAGTCAAGGAAAATATGCGCAAGGAAATTGAGGAGATGATTCAGCTAGGAGTAATAGAGCACTCGGACAGCCCCTGGGCCTCCCCGGTAGTACTGGTGCCGAAACGGGACGGGACGACCCGTTTCTGCGTAGACTACCGACGGCTCAACGATAAAACGACCTCTGACGCATATCCCATGCCCCGAATAGACGAACTCCTCGACAAGATGGCCAGGGGTCAATACCTAACCACTATAGACTTGTGCAAAGGGTACTGGCAGATTCCCTTAGCGGAAGACGCCATCCCTAAGTCGGCTTTTGTCACCCCGTTTGGCCTGTATCAATTTAAGGTCATGCCATTCGGGATGAAAAACGCTCCAGCTACCTTCCAGAGAATGGTGGACAGACTTTTAGATGGGTTCCAGGAGTATGCCTGCGCGTATCTAGATGATATCGCCATATTCAGCCACTCCTGGCACGAACATCTGGTTCACATAGGAGCCATTCTAGACCGAATCCGAGAGGCCGGACTGACCCTAAAACCCAGCAAATGCCATATCGGTATGGCGGAAGTCCAGTATCTGGGGCACCGGGTAGGGAGTGGGCAACAGAAACCCGAATCTGCTAAAATAGAGGCAGTCGCCCAATGGTCTACCCCTCGCACCAAGACCCAAGTGCTCGCCTTTTTAGGGACCGCCGGGTACTACCGGAAGTTTGTGGCCAACTATAGCGCCCTCGCCAAACCCCTCACAGACCTGACCCGCAAGAACCTCCCTAAGTTAGTAGTCTGGGCCCCAGAGTGTGAGCAGGCGTTCCAACAGCTCAAGACGGCGCTTGTTAACTCTCCTGTACTTTCTGCTCCTGATCCAACTAAACGCTTTCTCGTCCACACAGACGCTTCTATGTTTGGATTGGGAGCAGTACTGAGCCAAGTTGGACCCGATGGCGGCGAGCACCCCGTAGCTTACCTAAGCCGAAAACTTTTACCCAGGGAAGTAAGCTACGCCGCCATTGAAAAGGAGTGCCTGGCTGTGGTGTGGGCCCTCAAGAAGTTGCAACCCTACTTATACGGGCAACCCTTCACTTTACTCACGGATCACAACCCGTTGGTGTGGCTGAACAGGGTGTCCGGAGACAATGCCAGGCTGCTGCGCTGGAGTTTGGCGCTGCAGCCTTTTGACTTTACTATCCACTACCGCCCTGGGAAGCAGAATGGCAACGCCGACGGGTTGTCTAGACAAACAGACTTGGAGCCGTGATTCGTGAGTACTCCTCCGGACATCCCCAAGCCGATCCGTTGGGATCAGACTGTGTATGCCGGCTTGGTTCTGGGGGAGCATTGTGGCAAACCTAGCCACTCGGACTATAACTGGACACTATGCCTTTAAGGGTTGCCTATAGGTCTGGAGAGAGATGCGTTGTACCTGTATGTGCCTGCTTCATGTATTCCCTGCATTGCCTGTACCTATCTGTTCCGCCGAATGCAAATGGCGGTTTGTATGGGGATTCCCGTTCGTTTCGCGAACGGCACTTTGGAGGGCCGTTCGTGAAACGAATGCGATACCCCCTAATAGCCCACACACTTAGAGGCGTGTGGCGCTAGTTAACCGATTGCAACATTGTTGCAATCGGTTATTAGAGGCTCTCCTGGGTGGCCGTCGTTCGACTACCGACCATGCGGCGGTCGGCCATCTTGGATCCTTTGTTCCCCAGCGGGGTTATGTCGTCGAGCGCCTGGTACTAAAAACGGCTACTCGACGGCATGAGCCCCGCTGAGCCTCCAGGACGTTCGGGAGTTTCGGGACGTTCGGTATTTTGTTCCCTAATAGCAATCGGTTCTTTTTGTATGTTTTATATGAATTGTGTTGTTCGTGCGGCGTTCGGTTATTTTAGCTGGGATCTGAGCGGTAACCTCACGAATGATACCCTCAGACCCCAGCTATCTGCCGAACGTCCATTCGTGTAAATCCACTATATATTCACCAAGTTATTGATTTTTATGCGAATTATCGGTTCTGCTGCACGAGGGGATAGTCCACTTAACGGTGCATTCTGGGAAGACTATCCCTCTCGTACAGCGGTGCCTGATGGGAGAAATATGGTGTAATGTAAGTCCCCCATGTAGTCCCCTCCTGTACAACCCCTGTAATGTCAGTTTGGAAACCCCTTGCATGGGGAATTGCATAAATACTGTGACCTGTGATTAAAACCTCAGTTGACTCCCAGCCTATGTGTCGTCTAGTTCTTGGGAAGGAAGGGTTACTGCAATGCTGTTTGGATTAATATATGCTGATTCCCTGGATTATCCTTTGTTGTTCCTGTTACCCAGCGGAGATATCGTGGATTATACTGCCTCTCCGCTACAGGCACTATGATCCATAAACATATAAAAGATTTACATGACTTAGTACAGGATATCAAACAGGATACTGGCTTCTTTGGAGGTTGGGATTGGACATTTGGGCTAGGAACATGGTTGACCTTGCTGATTAAGAAAATTTTGGACTTTTTCCTATAAGCTGTATTTGTTATTACGGCCATTTTTCTAACCTTTGTCATATAATGATATCCTATATTAAAATTGGCTAACTTGGACTCAGGAAATGCTTGATGCTTAAAATGACAGACCATATATGTCTAGTTCTGGGAGCAGATAGCCCCCACCTGAGATGTCTCTTCTCAGATCATTCTGTTCTTTCTCAGAACTTATTTGTTATATGTACATGACGTTCATCCCTATGTCTTTTACCCTTTCACTCCCTTCCTACTACTATCCAATGAGTATTTACACATAAGCACTTACTTTTTAATGTATAAAAACCCAACTGACAAATAAACGACAGAGGTTAATTCATGCTTTTCCAAGTGTACTTGTTATAATAATTTGGGCTTCCTTTGAATATAACAAATATCAGTATTTGGATCTATATCAGGTGCACGGGCAGAGGTGAGGCGGGTTCACCCCGGTCCTCACTGGGTTAGTCCCACTCTGTATCAAAACAGGGAAGAGAATATAAGGAAAGGAAATTTTGTGGCCTCTGAAACAGCGTGGGGCGACCAAGATGGACGCCGAGCAGGAACTCAAACAGTGCCGGACCAGTTTGGAGCATGAGAGGTGCAGAGACCTCTTTACCACCACATTCGACGCAATTTGCCAGCGATTCTGGGATCATATTGCCCACAGAACCCACTCAATGTCTCGGCTGCTCGCGTCTCTTGTGGGCCTCTGTGCCATCCATATATCCAGAGGGTAACCCGGAACATGGTTCACCTACGGGCCCACAATCCTGCCACCACAGGAAGGGGGATCAATGGACACAAGGCACACGCTTCCATACAGGCCATGGGCAGAAGTTGCGTGGACCTGGTATCAGGCAGTTTGGGATATAAGGCACAGCAGGAATCCCAGCATTACTCATCAAGCTTGACAGCGGGAAAAGAAACTGCCTCTGGCGTGGAAGCAGACTTTCCACCATGGCTCAAGTGTAACATTGTATGAGTGAAGCTAGTGGCTATCTGCAGCATCCACAAATTTTTTTAATTTTTTTTGTTTAGCTATTTTATTCTTTTGTTGAGGAGTTTGAGGGGATACCTCTCTACTTTCACACTACACTCAGTGGCACTGTTAGCTAGGTGTTTTAGGCATTTAGACATAGCTTTAGGATATTTAGATGCATAGATCTTACTGTGGATATAATTTATGTCTGCATATCTAGCGTTTATGCGCTACTATTACTTGTCAATATTTAATAAGCTCTAAGCAATTCCTGAAATGTGATGCTGTATTAGTCTATGCCAGAACACTTTACTATACTCTCTAAGCTTGCTTCATGTAAAAAAATGTGCAGTTCTATCATATGCCATTACAATTTCTATCTTGAAATGCTTGCTATGGCTATTGTGGCATTGTGGGCTTGTTGTAATCTTTTGCACAACAAAAATAAAAATAAAATTTTTTAAAAATGTTCTAGGTCCCCTCAATTTCAGGATGGTCTGGCAGTTTAGCCTTGATGTAAAGTGACATTAAAGGATCACTATAGTGTCAGGAAAACAAACTCTTTTTCCTGACACTATAGCATCCTTAGGTCACCCCCCCACCCTCAGGACCCCCCTCCCTTGAAGCTCCCGAGTGGAGCCGAATGCGCATGCGCAGCAATTGCCGTGGGCGCATTTAAACCGTCCATAGGAAAGCATTTCTCAATGCTTTACTATGGACGTTCTGCATGCTGGATGCAAATTTCGCATCCAGTGTCGCAGAAGCGCCTCTAGCGGTTGTCATGAAGACAGCCACTAGAGGCTGGATTAACCCTGCAATGTAAACATAGCAGTTTACCTGAAACTGCTATGTTTACATCTAAAGGGTTAAAACCTGGGGGACCTGGCACCCAGACCACTTCATTAAGCTGAAGTGGTCTGGGTGACTATAGTGTCCCTTTAATTTTACCACTAAATGAACAGTGACATATTATTAATAATATAAGATCTTCAGATCAGTTAAGTGGCAAGAAACGAACACTGCATATTCACAGTAAGGCACATTAAAAACAGATTGTTAACAAGCGTGTTACAAAAACATGTGAGAGAGGTTTTTTCAAGTTAATAGTAAAATATGGCCATCACTCAGAAGAGTGCAATTCTGCGTTCCCAGCTTGATGTATTTTGCAGCAAGAAATGTTGACAAACTCATGCTATGTTTTAGCAGAGTAGTGTCAGTCAGACAATCACATAATGGAAAACAATAAAATGCTTTCAAATGTTAGCCTTTCAAGCCTGGCACACAAAGGGGTCAACCTTGTATGAAGCTGATTAAACTAATCATAACTGGCACAGTTCAACCCAGTGCTTTATTCACTAAGCCAGGATTTGTAGAAATGGAAATGGTAATTGCATTTTTAGGCCAACATAACTATAATGAAAATATACACAACTTCCACTTTGGCCACAGTGTTTTAAAATTTGCAGTATCTATCTATAATTGTTCACAATTCTTAGTGTAGTGAATTAACACCCCAGTGTTATAGCTTAATATATATTTCACTCAGGTGAAGTATTGTGTCCCTCTGCTTTATTAGCATTATTCACAAAAGTGAGTATTCAAAGTGAATTTCAAAATCAAACTATAAATAGACAAATTGGACACATTTTTAATCAGTTGTGCTTCCAGTTGGCTACTTTGGCCCTAAATTGGAAATTCACTTTGAATTCACTCTGAATTTTCACTTTAGTGAATAACCCTGTCGGTGTAATAGTACCACTCTGAGAAATGACCAATGTTTTATAGATTGCTGTCCTTTCAGCACTACAGTGGTGAGTAACATGTTGCTTTCTCTGGAGAGGAAAACGTTAAAGAAATACACTAGTAGTTCAATTAATAAAATGCATGTTTACTAAATAGAAAAATTTTAACTTACCCTAAAAACAGAGAACCTGTAATTTTTGCAATATTTCCTATGAATAGAAAAGAAGAATTCATTAAGATACACAATACACATAGACAATAATAAACACAAAACTAAATTATCACCTCTGCATTTATTTTACTTGACCGTCCTCCAGTAGCATTAATAAAGAGAGAAAGGCTCCTCCTATCTAGGCAGGAGAATGGCCAATAACACTGAAACTCTTTCCTTGGGCTACCAGAGGACAGTAAAGGAAAATAAATTCTTACGGAAGTATTTTATGTGTTTCTTGACATCCCTGGTAGCACGGATAATAAAAATATACCAGGAAAAATACTACATGAGAGGTGTTAAAGTTTCAGCTTCTTGTGCATCCCTGTTGGACAGAAGAATGGCAATAGACAGACTGCATAAATGGATCCTCACTGTTATGCAGCAGCATAAGTCATAATTAATGGTAATATAATTCTCTATCAGTGAAGGAAACTCCAGGATAAAGGGAAACCAAACTCATACTTGTAAAAGAGAAAGTTGGTAGTCAAATGAGGAAAATGGCGCAGTACTTTAGACCCTGAGAAGCAACAGTGAGATAAATGGAAATTTGATTGGATTCCAACAGATGCAGAATGATATTTCTGAGCTCCTTGCTCTTGATGAAGGGAGAAAACACAATATTCACTCTGCAATGATAGGGCTGATTCTAAGGCAGGCATGTGAATTACTTTACCAGCCATGGGTACATATCATCCAAGTTCTGAGAAGTGTCAACTGGACTTATTCGGCTACCGACCGTTGGTTCCTTTCGGCTGTGAAGTATGATCCTGTCGCTCGCCGCCCGTTGTAGCGGACCACAGGTAGCCCAACTGGTTACCTCCGCTAATTCCCTTCCTTCAGCCTGTCACATATCAAGTAAATGACAAGTAGACCCATTTCCTACCCCCAGTAACTGGACGACACTCAGTTCTGGAGGTACAACAACACTTTATTGGCCACACACGGCTTTTTAAGAATAACCCCATGGCAGGGGAGTAACACACAGCATACAATGTCCCCTCCCAGGGTCCTCCCTCTCCCCAGTAACCTAACAAGGGAAAAGTTTGTTTCCAAAAGCCCACCACCCAAACACAGGGTTTCCCACATCCGGGGACAGGGGGTCTTCATCCCATGAGCCTCTGTACCTGGGAGACGAAGCGCGGGAAAAAGGTCCCGTCCCTTTGTCTCCCAGACCCGCAGGAAAAGAGCTGGTCTCTTTGTCCCACCAAACTAGCCAGTGGCCCAGAAGTGCCCACACCAATCTCAGGGACACTCACAGCAGTACCTTTCTCGACCAGACTCTGCTCGGTGGGTCTCTTTTGATACCCGGCAAGTGAAGTGTCTCCTTTCGGGATGTGAATGCTCTCCCTGGATGGCATTCATCTGTACGAAACGGCCACCAGGGGAGCATTCATTAATTACTTCCTGTGACGAACGCCCCCTTGCCTGGACTTTCGCCACGGGCTCCTGGAGGAGTGTGCAGGCTAGCCTCCTACCCACTGACTATGGGCCATAGAAAAGGCTGGTAAAAAGCCTTGGTTCGTGGGATTTATTCGTGGGATTTATTTGTACTGTTCAGGAACCAAACAAGCTCACGAACTGCGGACCACCTCTGGGCTTGTTAACCCTTGGTAACCTCTCCTGACACTTCAATTATCAGGAGTTCTAATTGTGTGACTGTTTTGGGCATACGACCAGAACTTCCACCCGGTGGTCTTTCGGCGGTGTTCGTTGGATCTGAGCGCTTTTCGGATATGTTTTGTGCTTAGATCCAAGCTATCCGGGGATGTATAAACTATGGGGGTTCCTAGGTGGAAAAAATTTAATTTTGTTTGTTTTTCATATTTTGTCATTTATTGCCAAGTCACGGTAACATTGCATTTTGAGGAAATTTTTGGGGTGTGTTTATGGAAGTGTCATGGGCGTGTTTACTGTGTCTCTGTATTGCATATAAGTGGGCCATTGAGCCTGGACTAAAAAGGTTTGTTTTACCCTTCATCAAGTTTAGGCTGATGTTTGGGGAACTTGGGCTATAATCACTACTGTGCTTGGGACTCAGCAGATTCATAACGTATATACTCAGCTGGCTGATTGGAATTCGTTACATTGGTGGCAAGCGGCAGGACTTTTCTCTCAAATTAATATCCCAAGCTAGGGAAAGCAGTGACAAGGAGGAGTTCCGGTGGAGATTACAAGGTGCACTGGCTCAGGAGTATGGCCCTGTTTCAAATGAAGAGGAACTGAACTGGAGAGAATATGCAATGCGAGAACTCTAGCAGGAGTCCCTGGAGGTAGCACAGCTTCGGCGGAAAAAGAAGCTTCAAAGTACAGCGCGCCGCTGGCAGGAACAAGTGACCCAATGGATGGTGATACTGGGAGAGCAACCCTTGACAGAGTGGGTTTGGCACCTTGAGTTCCTGGTCAAGAGAGAGATGATGCTGGATGACTTGTACCGGGCGCTATGGTGGTATGCAGTCCAGTGAGACACTTGGTTGACAGAGGGCATTCAGCCAGAGGGGGAGGGCTACGATAGCCCTGGCCTGTTGTGGAAGGCCTTTGAGGAGGACGATGACTGTGGTAGTCTGGATGAGTCGCAGTTCTGGGCTATTTATTGTTACTGGCAAAAGATGTTGCCATTCCCAGGAGCTATTGAGCTGGGACATGACCTCACCCAGCTGATTACCATAAAGTGGGAGTTGGAGCAGGAATACCGGAACGTTATAGACTAGGTTTAGCAACAGGCAGCGTTACAGGGATAGGAGATTGTAGGGGCGAGCATAACTGGGAGTGGAGATGGTCGGTCCTACTACCCAGCACCAGGCAGCGTTACTGGGAGTTGACACAGTCGGTCCGACTCCCCAGTGACAGCAGGATTTAAAGGAAGAAGAGACAAGGGGAGAGAGGGAGGAAGACAGCCAGCCTGGAGAGAGGACACGGTGGAGCGATAACTCGCAGCTTCACCGGGTTTCTCTCGTGAGATCCGGACCGTTGCCATGGCAACTTCCCAGTGGCAGCCAGTGTTACAGGTAGATGAGATTGTAGGTCCCTCATCCCAGAAGCAGCGAGCATCACTGGGAGTGGAGATGGTTGGTCCCACTACCCAGCACCAGGTAGCATTACAGGGAGTCGTGACAGTCGGTCCGACTCCCCAGCGGCAGTATGGTTCAATGGGAGAGGAGACAACTGTTTTTTCTCCCCAGCAGCAGGGCCTGTTATCAGGAGACAGGACAATTGGAGCGCATGGTACAGATGGGACCGAGGTCTTTGCTCAAGCCCTTCAGGGATGCTGGGCAGCCTTCCCAGATCCCCAACCGCAGCAGGAGTTCCAGGAAGTAGAGGCAGTTAGTCTCTCTCCCCAGCAGAAGAGCGGGCATCAGGGCAGAGCACCGCTGGTCTCGGTCCACAAGTCCCTGATGCTTTTGGCATGGGAGGGGTGGATGGGATGGTGGTCTCTACCCCTGGAGTACAGCAATGCTAGGCAGTCGGCCCGGATCTTCAACCCCCTAGTAGGGGGTTGAGGCTCCGGGCCACCCTGATTGATCCCAAGCCACCCTGATTGTGCCCCATTAGCAGAGCGAGGGTCCCCTCCTCCAGGGCTCTGTGTATCCCTGAGAGGGGAGAATTGCGTCCTTCCCCTCCAGCAACAATGGGATGCCTCAGAAGTGGATTATAGTTGGTGCCCTGCCCAGGAAGACCTTGGATATTAAAACTGAAATGTGGGGCAGAAGGCACTCTGGAGCCCTGCACCATATGGGAAAAGACACCAGACTAACACAGGTCTGGGGTCGGGTTAGTCTCCCCAGGAGGGAGGAGATATGTGACAAACGCCCCCTTGCCTGGAAGTTCACAACGGGGTCCTGGAGAAGTGTGGAGGCTAGCGTCCTGCACACTGACTATGGGCTATAGAAAAGGCTGGTTAAAAGACTTGGCTCGTGGGATTTATTTGTACTGTTTGAGAAACGAAAAAATTCACGAATTGCAGCTCCGATATTCCTGCCTTCGGGTTTCTGGGACCGTCGGCCCATGGTGCACTCCGGAGCTGGAGGTGGAGAGTGTGAATATCGGGTATTCCCGGGTGCGCTATATGCCAGTGGGCCGCCCAGGAGTGACTCCAGGGAGAAGCGTGGCAGCTGGAGGTAGGCCGCGGCCTTGCGTTTCGGTGTGGGTTGCCCTGTGGGATACCGAAACAGCATCAATCAGTGCAACGCTTCACCCTGGATGGGATGGTGAGGTATCTGTTTGTGTTTGTGTACGGTGTCTACTGTTTACGGTATGTGCCGTTAAAGTTAGCGATTATCGGGAGCTGACAGACATGGCGTCCGTCTTGTCCCGCTAGCAAGCTCCGCCCCCCATTTTGTGTCATATTTCGTCATTTATTGCTGAGTCATGGTGACATATACTCAGCCAGAGTATAGGGGAACCGTTACACTTCCCTTGCGGTTTCACACTTATGTTGCAAGTGCGAACGTTCTTATTAATTGGTGTGAACATTTTAATGGGCACTGGGGAGGGCCCATTAATTGTTACCCTTGCGGTTTGACACTATGTTGAGAGGTGTGAAGGTTCTAAGTCAACATTCTAAATGGGGTATCGGGGCGGGGTGGTCCCCGTTCGGGAGGTGAATAAATTCCCTTTGTGGAAGCACTCCCGAACGGGGAGCGGGCAGAAGACATGAAAAGATGGGGAAACACACATAATATCAAGCAGGCAATTCACGGACCGGCAGCGGTCCTGCCACAATGGCCAAATGGTATCCTGGTCTGACAGTCATGTGATAACCCAACACGCAGTACATAAACCCTCAGAAAACCCAAGAACGTATTACTGAACCTCAGAATGGTCGGGTTTAATGTAGGTAGAAAAGAGTGGTCAAGGAACAGCCAAAAGTCAGGATACCAGAGTTCAGGAGAGTGATACGAGAATGGCCGGGTCAGGATACCAGAAAGGAGAAAGTCAAAATACAAGCCGAGTCAGGGAACCAGAAAAAAAGAGAAGTCTAAAGCCAAGCGGAGTCAAAACACAGAAATATCAATATAAACACAAGGAGTACACGTTGGGAGAAGAGCAGGACTCGCATCCTGCATCACTTTGGCGCGATGGAGAAAGGTAATAGATCGTGACACCTGGAAGGTGATCTTTCTTCTGGTTATTAGAAAGCTCCTGTACTTGACGAGAATAGTGACTTCAGAGATTAGCATGTCCACCTCCTTGACAGGTTAAAATTAGATCTTGTTTTTAATTCTATATCCTCAGAAAATAAATATTCAAACCCAGTTCAGATTTGGCAAACAATCCAGCTCTTCCTTACAATGAGAAACTTTTGGAAACAAAGAGTATATAATGAGGGTGCTTGGATGCTGCATATTTCAGAAAATATTCATTAAAAATGAGTCCTGGAATTTAAAGGGACATTGTATACACCCAGACCACTTCAGCTCATTGAAGTGGTCTGGGTGCAATGTCCCATGTCACTTATGCCTACAGTGGTAATTATTGCAATTTCTGAGAAACTGAGAAGAGAGTTAACTCTTCTTCTAGTGTCTGTCTACCAGGCAGTCACTAGAGTGACTTCCGGGTGCTTAGACGACATTTGGTTGCCTAAATGACGCTGGACATTCTCATGCTATGCTATGCATGAGCATGTCCAGCGTCACCGGAATCGCCATAGGAAAGCATTTATAAATGCATTCCAATGGGGAAAGCCTAATGCGAGCTCGGCCATTGGAGCGTGAGCGGAGCTTGACCCAACATCGAGGGACATCGGCACTAGATTCAGGTAAGTGCGCGCGAGGAGGGGTGGTCAAGGGAGTGGCCATTGTAGGAACCTATACCTATACAAAGCCGTTTTCCTGGCACTATAGAATCCATTTAATGCAGGGTTTGACAAATTTGTTTGGAATCTAGTAGCCAGCTAAAAAAGTTCAACGAGAAAAATGCCATTCTCAAAGAGACACTAGAGTCACCAGAACCACCACAGCTTAATGTAGTTGTTCTGGTGATCTATATACTATGCAGAAAAAAAGTCAGTGTTTACATCGCTGCTTAGTGACATATCTAGTGAGTCACTCAGACGGCCACTAAAGAGTCCTGGGTCACTGCTGCACCATGTGCAGCACCGACATTCAGGGTCTCCAAGCTCTGCATGCAGGCGCTGAATGTTCCTCATAGAGATTAATTAATTCAATGCATCCCTATGAAGAGATGCAGATTGGTACATTTGCTGCATATGCACAAAATCCTCCCAATGCTTTCCTGAGGTAAAGCATTGGTGTAACAAAACCCCTGTACGGATTTTTAAAATCATTCGTCTTAATTCACCTAGCCTGCTGTTATATTACAAGCCGTTCGGATTACGAATTTTCTACTGAATGACCAACCACCCAGGACAGAAGTGTGGTCCTCGTTAACCTCCCTGCCTCCCTGTCGAATGTGTGGAACTATATTCGGCTACTTTTCACACAAACACAGCTGAAACTTCTACTTTCTGTGCGTTCGGCTAAACCCATACGAACAGAGCGCTATTTCTATGGAACAAACTGTTGAACTAGCCGCATCCACTGACATTAAGCACAAATTGCTCCGTTCGTGCAATTTGAACTAAATATGAATGAAGGGTTACACCGACCGCACAGCCTGAATTCGTGGAACTGTTTTGGGCAGGAAAATCTGCGTGCGGTCGGTCAGAAGGACTTTAACCTATCTCCCGAACCACTGAACCGATTAAAGTGAATTTTGAATATGTTTGTCCCCAAATTATACTGGTTATAAAAATATATGTTTTATGAATATTGCATGTAAACTCACAAAATTACAAAAATGGCATAAAAGTATGTTTCTTAGGTTGGAGATAATTGAGTTGATACAGTAATTAACTCAATTATCTCTCAAGCAGAGGGTAGGATTCTTAGTGTAAAAAGCGGGTGTGATTATCCATGTGCCTTTATGTTATTGGTTGCTAAATTTACAGTTCCAGTGCCCCACAAGATCCACGTGGGTGGTAACCTTGCTGGGAAACTTGTATATAAGCAGGAATAAACAATCATTGGAGTCAGTTCTTCTTCACCCTCAATCTAGAGTCCTGTCTCTTATTGGGGTAACCAGCTATACAGCTAATCATACTGGATGAAGACTGGATGCTGAGAATACCCCTCACTCATCGGGAGAAGGACACCCTCCAGCGGTGGAAACCCCTCTACTACCTGGGGTAACCGCTACAACTGGGTTAGCTGGGATCATAAAGATTGATAATTTCAGCCATTGAGGTGGTACCAGCCAAGGCAAATGTGGCACGGCCTGGGGAAAAAAAGGTGAGTAAAAACACCTTCCTCATGCGATAGGAGGGGGCAGGTACCTAAACGCACACACACACACACACACTCTGACAGGCTCATACACACACACACTCACTAACAGGCTCACACATACACACTCACTCTGACAGGCTCACACATTCACAGGGCCGCCACCAGACATTTTGGGGCCCGTAACTCAGCTCAGGGTCTTGGCCCCCGGGAGACCGCCTCCAAGCCCGCCCACAGGGACTGCCTCCAAATCCCGCCCACAGGAATACACACACAGACACAAACACACAAACACTGATACAAAAGGACACAGATACATACTAACAGACACACATACTGAAACAGACATGCACGCATATAGGCATACATACTGACACACACATACTGATACACAGGCATACATAGTGACAGACAGACACATACTAACATACATACAGACACACATGCATAAGGACATATAGACACATACATACATACATACAGACACTGACATACATACATACATACAGACACTGACATACATACATGCATACAGACACTGACATCCATACACACATTCATAATGACATACATTCATACTGGCATATATACATATATACATACATACAGACATACATACAGACATACATGCGTACTGACATACATGCATACAGACACTTACAACCATACACACATACATACACACACACACATACACAGACATACATTCATAATGACACGCAGACATACATACATACATACAGACAGACATACAGACATACATACTGACATACATACATACACACACAGACATACATTCATACATACTGACACTGACATCCATACATACACACAGACATACATTCATAATGACAGGCATACATTTATACATACACATACAGAGCTCATTTTCCAGCCACCCTCCTGTTTCTTACCTTTTCTTTGCAGGATGCCTGGCTGGCTCTCCTCCTGCGTGGAGTGAGTTGGGAGGAAGTGACCACTTCCTCCCAGCACTTGCGTTGCGGCTGCAATTTTTTTTTTTTAAAGGGGCCCGGTCGCGCTACTACACGGCCACAGCGCTGACCGGGTCCCTGAAGATATAGGGCCCATCGGGTGGCCCTAAATGCTTGGGTCCCAATCGACCACATCAGCGTGCGGGCCCCGGTGCAACAGCACTGGCGGCAGTTCCGACGCTACAAAATATATATTTTAAAGGTTTGTCCAAAAATATTAAATCATTTGAAAAAAAGTTAATCAAAAAATATTGAATCAAGGCCTAGGTTTGCTTCATAGAGAACACCGACATTGATAATTGCTTTTGTGCAAAAATTATTAGTTTAAGTCAAATGTCTATATAGAAAATATGTCACCATAAATCATTCAAGTTCAATGCTATCATATCACTTTGGTTATTTGGGATACTGAAAGTGGTTTAATTTTATGTTTGCAATAGCATAAACACTTTAAACAATATGTCAACATGTGCATCTATGAAGCACATAGTGCAAATGTATCCTGTTTTGATAATGCTTTTTGAGATCATAATGGTTCCTATAAATGCACTGTTCATCAATTGACATTGAGTGCAGTTTTGTAAGCAAATTGTTGTACAACACCATCTGCGCACTAATGTAAAAATATGTGTACGTCCCACTTTTTTTTTTGTAAGAGACAAAAGAAAACAAAGTTTATTGATTAATAAGTCAAATATTTTATATGTTTTAACCAAACTAAAATGCAATTATAAATTCTGTGCCATCAGTATGTACATGAAAAATGTGTCTGTTGTGTGCATTACATAATATTGTGTTTGTACATAGTATATTTGCTTGTGTTAATACCACCACTGTGTTTTGTAGATTCTATGTAGTTGAGGGTGCTAGTTGTGAGAGAACGAGAAAAATTGAACTCTGTATTATGGAAAAATAATGCTATTGAGGGGATCTGGAGACATCAAAATAAACCACAAGCACAGTATCCTGAGTGCTGTTGAACTTCATTTATTATTATTATTATTATGTTATTATTTATATTATTTATATAGCGCCAACAAATCCCTCAGCACTTTGAAGTGGGTGGATGAACAGACATGTAGTTGTAACCAGACAAGTTGAACACAGAGTGTTACGTTTGCCCCAGGCTAGCTGAGGGCTGGACCGCTTTGGATGTCCTTGTTCAAATCCTGGAGAGCGGTAGTAAAATACAAAACAGCGTACAGCGATAATCCTGTAAGTGTAGAATATCCGACAAGCTATAGGTGAAGCTAGTATTCAGCATTTCCCTACAACACGAGTCGAGGCTGTGAGTTTGGCAATGCACTGCTTAAATATACATTTTCAGTGTACACAGGGTGACAAATGACAGCAACCAATTGGGACAAAGTGCATCTTTTCAAACCCTCCCCTCTATCCTGGAGATAATTAGTTATTGTAACCAACGGTTACAATAACTAATTATCTCCAGGTACAGGCGATATTCTGTTACAGATACATGAAAACTGCATAAAAATACATAACTCAGACATCATATTCTCTAATGTACACATTCAACATATCCCCAGACAGCTTGGATCTGAGCGAACAAGTTATCCGAAAAGCGCTCAGATCTCACGAATGGTATGGGAATGCAATGAGGATAAAATTGTCTCAAGGGCTGTTTGGCAATTAACAACCCAGAACTCCTCGGTCATAGTGTCCTACATGGAGTCGGTGTCTCCTTCTTAGTCTTAAAATACCGAACTTCAGGGTATTCAGCATTTTATGCACGAACGCGCGGGACACGGAGGATCCCAGCGGGGAACATATGAAACAGTAGCCAAAAATGGTACCAGGCGGTCGACGACCAAGTCCCGCTGGGCGCTCGGCAGTTAAAGATGGCCGCCACCACATGTTAGTGTATACTGTAAATAAGACTGCGGTTAACAACAAAACCGCAACTCCTAGGTGGTTAATAAGGGGCACATTCCTCAGGTAGGGTGGTCGATAGTTCGACAGTTCATTCGGCATTTCGTGCGCCACCGCCACGTGTTCATGCATACAAACGACGACCACCCTGTCGACTGTAAATTAGACTTCGGTTAACCACAAAACCACAACTCCAAGGTGGGCACACTCCTCAGGTAGGGTGGTCGATCGTTCGACAGTTGATACGGTATTCCGTTCGGCACAGTAGCGGTGAACGGGGTTAATTGGCGGCACACGCCGAGAGCCGGGTGGTCAATCATTCGTACAGACAAATGACCTGATACCGTGTTCGTGAGTTTTAACAACAAAGTGGAAAAAATGTAGCAGACAGAGGGGGCTTTGCAACACAGAGGAAAAGGGGGGTTGAGGGCTTACATGCTAGAGGGAGTGGGGTAAAGTGGCACAAAAGGTGAGGATAGTATTAGACTAATGACAGTTGCAAGAGAGGAATCAGTTGGGAGCTATTAACAGTTTAATTAATACGCTTTTATGAAGAATATGGGTGTTTAATGATTTGTTGAAGGAGTGGAGACTGGGTGAGCATCTAATGGAGGAGGGAAGTGAGTTCCACAGGAACGGTGCAGCCCTCAAGAAGTTTTGAAGGCGAGCATCAGAGGTGGCAGTACGAACAGAAGATAGACATAAGTCTTCAGCAGAGCGTAAGGGCCTAGACGGGACATCTATAGGTGACAGCATTATGTAGAGATTTGAAACCAAGAACCAGAATTGTAGATTATGCTAATGTAGTGTACCTATAATCTTAATTTTAATAATGACAGGAGGCGAGTATTTTGCATAACTTTCTTTACTTTATGCCTCCAGCAGCACAAGTCAATCAATAAACTTTAAACCAATCGGTAACAGGCATCACATCCATATATAAAGCCCTGACAGACATATGACTTCCTCTTTCTTTGATGTGAAAAACAGTCTATTATAGCGTCAGGGAATTCAAATAACAGTCCTGAGTAACATGTAGCACATAACTTGAAACGAAACTTGAAACCTTCCAGCTTTATCTTATCAAATCCATCTATGATGATTACGCTGAAAAGAACAGAAATGCGTGAAAGGTGATGTTGTCCACATTAAATCCAGTATTATATGTATCTATATTTATATTACGTTAATATACTGAAACATTAAACAACCATAGCATACTTAATAATCAACACGGATCTAACACATGTCAACCAAATAAGCAACCCATAAATATACTGAATTACCAAAACCTTATAATTTACACTGAGAAAATGACAAACCAAAATATAAAATTTTTCCAGAGTATAGGGAGGGAAACAGGGAGGGAAAATACTCCCCTCCTGTCATTATTAAAATTAAGATTATAGGTACACTACGTTAGCATAATCTACAATTTTATCACATGACAGGAGGCTTCATATTTTGCATTTTTAAAGCTGTGGTATGAGCGAGAAGGATGCGTGTGTGGTTGACAAAAATAAATATACGGAAGTAGTGTCCAATTCGTTGCTGTAAAATATAGAGGCCCCCTCGTGAAGGCCTGAGAAGCAGCCGCGCCTCTTACCGAATGAGTACCCAAACACGTCTCCACCCTCGCTAGCGATAACAACCAATGAACCCATCTAGACAGAGTGTTCCTGGTAACTGGCTTGTATGGTTGGTATAAGACCAGCAGATGTCCTGAATGTGACATTCTAAGTGTTGTCGTGATCTCCATGTAACAAAGTACCGCTTTAACTGCACAAAGACCGTTGGTAGCAGGGAACGATACGGACGTGGATAAGATATAGTTCTACGAGACACTGTAGAAATCATTCCTTCCGGTGATACCGAAAAGACCGTCTACGTCGAACTCCAGTACATCTGATACCCGACGAAAAGACCTAAAAGTAACCTGACTCAAGGCTAATGGCTGACGGTGGGATAGGACCGTGATATCTGACTAGCTCCAAAAGAACCAAATCAAAGTCCCAAACCAGTGATACTTTGACGCATTGTTCTGGATAGTTTGATACCCTGCAGAAAGCGGCATATCAAAGGCTCCTGATCGACTGGAGAGTCGTGAATCATGCTATGAGACGTCGAAATCGCGGAACGTAGCCCGTTAATGGAACGTTTCGATCGGCCAGTAGAGAAAAGGTCTGATAAAGATCCAGCATCGAGGAGATAGGGGTAACAAAGGGATTGCAGTCCCTTCCCATACACCAGCAAACTCCAGGTGTTCAATGCAGATAAGTTATTTCGTGGAATACCTGGTGTTCATGATTCCCATAATAGGTCTCTAGTTGGTTGCGATAGTCACTTGACATACCAGTCTCCCCTGAAAGACACCAATCTACCAACTCCAGATGCTCCTGCATTATCAATGGATGATGTTTTCCTTTTGGATCTGCCCGAAGGCAAGTTAAAACTGAAGGAGCAGAGGATGATCCCGATTAAGGACAACCCTTCTGGGTGTCACGCTTGACTCCTGTACCGCGGTAATGAGTACTATCAAAGTTTTCGCTATTCTGATCCCAATTTCATAGGTGTGTCCGGATCTCAGGCAGTGAGCTTTCAGCCACTGTCTGGCCCGGTAGTGAAGCGGTCCTGGGAAATAGTCAAAGGGTTATGGTGCCTTTCCGCCGTACCCGTCGAATTTCCTTCCAAATCGGCGCTATCAATGATGTGGGAAGGTGTAATCCGCCCAAGGTGGAATCTATTCCGAAGTAGATGAAGTGAATCACTCGGAACTGGGATCAAACCGACTCCTCTCTGTTCACTATGAATTCCAACAATTCCCTAAACTGTAAACAGAAATCTCGTTTGTAAACGTAGTCATGAATTGGATTTGCAAAAGGTAAGTCGTCTAGGTATGCAACACCGGATACCCTTTGCTTTTCAGTGTGCCGTGACTGACTTCAGAAACTTCATGAGGCACCATGTGAATCTGTAGGTAAGTGCCCTTCAAGCCCAACCTTGTAGATCCCCTAAGAGATGGATACCTTCCTTCTTGAGTTGTCGGTACGCCCCAAAACCATTGGGTTGGCGTAGGTTGATGACTGGACGATAGTCTCCTATCTTCTTCCTTACTACCAAATCGTTGCTGAGATAAATGGTTCTCCAAACGATAGTCCGTCCACCTGAGGTCCTCGCTCTTTCGTCCCTAACTTCAATAGTTTGAAATCCATCTTTAATCGGGCTGCTTTGTGCCGTTCTGTGTACCTGTCTGCCTTGTGTTCCCCAACCTACATATTGCCCTTTGCACCCATTCCCTCACATCGTGAGCTTCTAGAGATGAGTCTTGGGTGGGGTCAGGTCCGCAAAGTATAGCATTTTTTCCCGGGCTGATCATGTCCAGTATTTCATCTTAACTCGTTTTGAGTCCTCCTCCTACACCTTTACATGGACCCCGGCCTGATCGGGACATACATATCACCACAAGCTCCATGGTGAGGACTATCTTGTTCGGACATAGAGGGCGTGGGCATTCCATCCTGAGCTTGTCTTGGATTTCTTTTCCCATAGGCCTCCTGAGCCAGAAGTGGGCAAAGTGTGCCCGGTGCTCCGGTTAACCCCATTCGGATGACCCTGGGTGTCGGATGGTGCATGAGTCAAAACAGGAGTGTCCAGTGTGCCAAAGAAAAACCTTTCTTGCTAGGCAGGTCTTGTCACTTTTACCTCTTCAGATGGAGACTCTTCTGCCCTCCATTCTTTCATGATCTCCAGAGAAGGGGGGGATGAAGTCCTCGTCCCCTGATGATGGGTGTCCGACCTAACGTTGTCGGTATCTCAATCTTCCATTGGTGTTGGTGCCGTTGCACCCGCTCTGTCGGATGGAGAGGACTTCTTCCCCCGAAGCTGCCATGGCAGACTTAATCCTAGCCTGAAAATAAGTTGGGATATTGAGGGAAGTCCGACATGTTGGTTTACACCCTTTCGATCTGTGGGAGACAGGATCGTACAACAGTACACTTATTGCCACTCAGTGGGCCTCCGCAAATAACTGGGGTCACCCAGAATTTTGATCAATCAGTATCACTTTCGCAGGATCCGGGGAGTGGTCTGAGAATGAGGACAACCTCAGTAAGACCGGGATGAGCGGTCTGCAATGTCGGGACGCAGCCCGAGTCTGTGAGACATGAAAGCCTCAATATATATAGTCCACGGGGTTCTTCCTTATATGGTCTAGAATTGTGGAGTTTTGGCAGCACTGTGAGTTCTCCTTCTCGGTTAAAGGAAGGGCGTACAGAACCCCAGTTGAAACATAGAGGTGTCGAAATACATGCATCTAGTGTGCCCTGGTCTGTGCATACAATGACAGAGCGTACTCTGAAGGTAGAAGCCCTAGAAAGGACGCGGGGAGTCACCCCATCCGGCAGGGGGGTTACCCCTTTGTACCTATGCCACTAGCACCGGAGTAAGACTCACTTGGGGGTCACCCAGCGTAGGGTGGTCACCCCTGTATGAATGTCTCTTATGGCATGTTGGGACACTCTATGGGGTACCGAACAGGTGTCAGGTATGGTAGTACACTTATTGCCACTTAGTGGGCCTCCATGTACGACTGGGGGTCACCCAGAATTGTTTCAATCAGTACCACTTAGAGATTTCCTGGGAGTGGTCTGAGGAGGGGGTTACCCTCAATAAGACCGGGATGAGCGGTCAATAATGTCGGGACGTAGCCCGTGTATGGAGAGGTATGGTAGCCTCCGAATTATCCAAGGGGTCACCCTTATAGGATATAGTACTGCGGAGAAGTGGCAGCACCGTGAGCTCTCCTTCCTGGCTCTGTCGATATACATGTATCCAGTGTGACCCGGTCTGTGCATACAGTAACATATCGTACTCGTGGATATGAGCCCGTCCTAGGGCGTGGGGGTTCCTCCCAGTATATGTATGTCACTAGTACCGGAATAATATTCGCTTGGGGTTCACCCAGCATAGGGGGATCACCCCAGTATATGTATGTCACAAGCACAGGAACCAGATTCGCTAGAGGGTCACCCAGCGTAAGGGGGGTCACCCCTGTACCACACTGTCACTTGGAGAGGTGTCTGCTATGCTTGGGGGTCACCCAGTGAAAAGGGGGGTCTCCGTTATGTGCCTGCACTACTGTGTCCTGGGAGGTGTATCCCTGTGGGAAAGAGTGTATCCAATGGTTGTGAGGTCCAGTGGGAGTAGGGAGCTGAGTAAGTTATCAGCTCTATTTAATTTCCCTGCCAGCAGATAGAGTAATGCATCCACTATATGCCCACAGCAGGGGACAGTCCATTCATAATCCTCCAGATGTACAATAAAACTGTTATTCAACATGTCAATTGTATAGAACAGAATAGAGCAAACTGCCAGCAGATATGAGTACTGCATCCACTATATGCCCACAGCAGGGAACAGTCCATTCATAATCCTCCAGATGTACAATAAAACTGTTATTCAACATGTCAATTGTATAGAACAGAATAGAGCAAACTGCCAGCAGACATGAGTACTGCATCCACTATATGCACACAGCAGGGATCAGTCCTACATATTCATGCAGAGTTACATATAAAACCTTTATTTCACATGCCAATGAAATATGACAGTATAGAGCTCAGCAGTGAACAGTCCATTCATAATCTTCCAGAAAAGGTACATATAAAACCTTTATTCCACATGCCCATGATATGTAACCGTGTTGAGCTCAAAAGTACTTTTAAAACTTTTATTTCACAGGAAAAATATATGAAACAGTACAGAACTAGCTGCCAGTTCGTGGGAATCACGAACTGGCCAAACGACATGGCCAACAGGAATCTTGCGAGATTCAAGATGGCCGCCGTTTGCACGCAAAAGTGCAGTGTGGCCCGCGATTGAGGATACGGCCTGGAATAGAGTCCCCCTGACACCCACAACCCCCTGAGACCTGCCCTGAAGTCCCAGCACCAATGAATAAAAAGCGTGCCCGCGGTAAAATGCCGCAATCGCCGAGACCAGAGTAAAGCATAGGAAAGAAAAGGTGCCAGCAACAGAAAACAGGCTAATAAAGCAGAAAATACAGGGTTAATTCGGGGGAAGAGTAACAGGGGGAGAATATCACACTATACAAGTCCAAATGGAAGGCAAGTGCAAAATAATGAAAAACATTTAGGCCAAAATTGCAGGACAAGCTAATAAAGTTTAACAAAAGTGGCCATGCATATCCAGAAACAGTTTGGCGCAAAAAATAGCTTATAGCAATTGTTAAAGGAGTGGGTTTAAATAGGCGGACAGTGTGAACTTCAAAAGAAGAAAAGGATAGGGCAGGTGGAGTTATGATTGGTTTAGAAGGTACATTGAGAGATGCCTACACCACCTCCTTTACAATTGAGTCTGGGAGTGTGAGAGAATTGTAGCCAGCACCAGCACCAGCACCAGCACCAGCACCAGCAGACTGGAATAAAGGGAAGATTTTACTATGTTTAGGGGGTGGGTGGAGGGGGGCTAGATAGTGTTTTTAACACTATAGAGTCAGAAATAAATGTTTTTGTTCCTGACCCTATAGCATTTTTTAACCTTTTATCATGAGATGCTCAGTTTTACATAGTTACATAGCTGAAAAAGAGACTTGCGTCTATCAAGTTCAGCCTTCCTCACATATGTTTTTGCTGTTGATCAAAAAGAAGGCAAAAAACCTAGTCTAAAGCACTTCCAATTTTGTGACAAAATTCCTTCTTAACCCCAAAATAGCAGTAAGATGTCTCTTTGGATCAAGCAGCTATTACGACACTAATTAGAAATTATATCCCTGTATGTTATGTTTTTGCAAGTATTTATCCAATTGCAGTTTAAACATCTGTATGGACTCTGATAAAACCACCTCTTCAGGCAGATAATTCCATATCCTTATTGCTCTTACTGTAAAAAAAACCTTTTCTTTGCCTTAGATGAAATCTCCTTTCTTCCAGCCTAAATGCACGCATAGGACCTTGTGTCCTATGTATGACTCTGTTTATGAATAGATTTCCGGATAATGGTTGGTGCTGGCCCTGAATATATTTGAATAATGTTAGCATTTCCCGCTCTTTTTCAAAACTAAAGAGAATTGAATTTTTTAACCTTTCTTCCTAACTAAACTGCTTCATTCCTTTTATCAATTTTGTAGCTCGTCTCTGCACTTTTTCTAGTGCCATGACATCTTTTTTTAGAACAGGTGCCCAAATTACACAGCATATTCAAGGTGTGGTCTTACCAGTGATTTATAAAGAGGCAAAATTATATTTTCATTACGAGAATTTATGCCCCTATTTATACATGACAAAACTTTACTGACCTTAGCAACTGCAGATTGACATTGCATATTGCTGCCTAATTTGTATTCTATAACAATTCCCAAATCCTTCTCATGTGTGGTTATCCCTAATTCACTACCATTTAGGGTGTAAGTTGCTTGTGCATGCTTGACCCCGAAGTGCATAACTTAAATTTAATCTGCCATTTTAGTGCTCAGTACCCCAATTTATCCAAATCCCTCTGCAGCAAAGCAATATCCTGCTCACATTTGATTACTTTACAAAGTTTTGTGTCATCTGCAAACACTGAAACATGGCTTTCAATGCCTATTTCAAGATCATTTATAAATATGTTAAATAGAAGCGGTCCCAAAACCGAACCCTGGGGGACACCACTTACCCCTTTTGCCAAGCCTGAAAATTTACCATTAATGACAACTCGTCGTACTCTATCCTCAAAGCCAATGTTCTACCCAAGAACATGAATATTCATTTAGACCAATTTCTTTTAGTTTGAAGACTAACCTATTGTGAGGACTCGTATCAAATGCCTTGGCAAAATCCAAGTAGATCACATCCATTGCAACACCCTGATCTATACTTCTACTTACTTCTTCATAGAATGCAATTAGGTTAGTTTGACATGACCTATGTTTCATAAAACCATGCTGATTATTGCTAATAACAAAGTTCTTCCCAATGAATTCCTGAATATTATCCCTTAGTAGCCCTTCAAATATTTTCCCAGTCACAGAAGTTAAGCTCACATGTCTATAATTTCCAGGCAAGGATTTTGAACCCTTTTTAAATATAGGAACATCTGCCTTCCTCCAATCCTCCGGTACAATGCCTGAAACAAAAGAATCTTGAAAAATTAAATACAGAGGTTCACTTATTTCCCCACTTGGCTCGTGGGTGAATACGGTCAGGCCCCGGAGCTTTAATTACATTAATTTTCTTTAACTGCTGTAGCAACTTGTCTCAAGTCATCCAATCACAAGTTATCTGCAAGTTTTTTTGCAGCAATAATTTCCATATCTCTTGCCATAGGATCCTCATTAATATATACTGGAGAAAAATAGTTATTTAAAATTTCTGCCTTTTCATGATCTTCATTAGCTAACAGACCCATCTTTGTTTCCAGTTTACAAACACTTTAATTTTAACATTTTTTATAATTGATGTACTTAAAAAAATTTGGGGTTGGTTTTGCATTCTTTGGCTATCAATTTCTAATTTTCTAGTTTAGCCAGTTTAATAGCCTTTTTGCAAGCATTATTGGCTTCCTTATATCTTATATAGGATGCCTCTGATTTGTCCGATTTACATACTTTAAATGCCATTTTCTTATTTTTAATGTCTTGTTTTACTTCTCTACTAAGCCACATTGGTTTCAGTTTGTTTCTTTTACATGTATTACCCCATGGTACATACTGAGAACTGCTCCTTTCTAATATTTGTTTGAATAGTTTCCATTTATCCTCAGTGTTTTTTTCACTAAGGAGTTTATGCTAGTCGATATGTTGTAGAGCTGCCCAAATCTTATTGAAATTTACTTTTTTTTTTTTTTTATTATATGTTTTAGTATATCCCACGTACTTTTGCTTTTTTGAGTTTATTTTAAAAAATTACCATATTGTGATTACTATTTCCCAAATGCTTCCCTACTTGAATGTTGATCAAAAGATCAACATTGTTTGTTATAATGAGATCCAGACAAGCATCCTTTCTAGTTGGTGCTTGTACCAGTTGTAAAATTAAGGTGTCATTTAACACATTCAAAAACCTGATTCCCCTTGCTGAAGTACTAGTCACTCTATCCCAATTTATGTCCAGGTAATAAAAAACTCCAATAATTAACGTGTTACTCCGATTTGCAGCTTTCACAATTTGCTCTAACAGCTGTTTTTCCGCATTAATATTTACATTAGGTGGTTTATATCATATCCCAACCAATAATTGATTTCCCTTCGTTTTCCCCAAGCAGATATCAACCCATAAAGCTTCCACATTTTTGTCGGCACACTCCACATGCCTAAGATTTGACTTTAACTCATGGTTGACATACCAACATACCCACCACCCTTCTTGTTTTTCCTATCCTTCCTAAATAATGTGTACCCATTTAAGTTAACTGCCCAGTCATGTGTCTCATCCCACCATGTTTCTGCTATGCCTATTATATCATATTGTTTAGTGTATGCTATTGACTCTAGTTCCCCCATTTTGTTATATAGGCTCCTTGCATTAGTAAGCATGCATTTAATATGATCATGAGTCATTTGTACTTTTTGTGAAATTTCATGAATATTACAGTTTTCTGAGTTTATATTTATTTTAAAGATTTAGAAAATGACATGAAAATCCAATTCAGATAACATAAAGCAAGAGCAAACATTACAAAAGAAAAGGAGACACAGAAACATTGTTTAATTTCTCCTCTTTTCGTTAACTATAGGCATAAGAAAGAATAATATTAAAAACCCAATTTTTTAAGTTGGGTGTACACGAATATTAATTAATTAGATACCATGTTCAAATAGTTATGGCTGTTAATTACTTACTGATATTCTTCCAGTTTTGCTCCCTCCTTGAAGCAGTACCAGACGTGCTTATCTTTCTACAACGAATGAGGCAATATGCAACCAATGACATGTTGTATCTGCATAGTGAAAAAAGTGAAAACTTTAATAAGATGCAATATTTACTAGACATAAAAGAAATTAGACTTGTGCACGAAAAAAAAGTTTGGTTCAGTTGTATAGAATTGTCTGAAAAAATTTGATTCTGTCAATTTGGGATTTGAACATGTGGTGTTTCAATTCATACAAATTTCGACCATGTTATTGTTTTTGTAATGACTAAGATTGCGTTAATGGGCCAGAGTACTGCAAAATATAAAATATGTTTTATGTATTTTGCATTACACTGATTTGCATTTTATCCTGCAATTTGGCTCAAAGATCAAGTAAGATCTAACCAATAGAGGGAAAAAGGATGAGCTGTTAAAAAAAAAAAAATTACATCAATATGTATATTAAAAGAACACTAGTTTTAGGAATACAAACATTTATTCACAATAATAGGGCATTATACTATCTATTTAGGTGCAGTTCCCCTTCCCCCCAAAAGTAGTAAAAGAGTAGATTTACATACAATATTTCCCCTGGCATGACAGTTTCTCAAAAGTATGGGGGTCGGCATGTGGAGACTGCAATTTATTTTGTCCTGCAATTTTTGCCAAACATCATCTAGAAGGTCTCTCTAGTGACTTTCTAATAATTTTCTTTTAGAAAATGCAGTATTTTAACTGCTCAGCCTGCAGAGACAGGCTATGTGCAACAAAACTGCGACATGAACCTGCAGTGGTTCTGGTGCCTAGTGTCCCGTTAACCCCTTAACCCTGTTACGGTGTTCTATGCCGTCCTGCATTTAATGGGCTTTAAAGCCATTGCAGCAGTATAGAACCTGGAACCACAGGGATACTCACATTTCCAGACAGCACAGGCAGCCCTCCTATGGAAAATCAGGCCCCCAGGGGCCATGTGATCGATCTCAAAGAGCGATCACATGGCTACAATAGCTGCCTGTGGATCTGCCTGCAGGGGTCTGCCTGGACTGGTGGGAAAAGTAAAAAAAAAAATATATCACATCAATAAAAAAAAATACATATTATATACTATGTATATATAATATATATCATATATATATATAACTTCATACATAGTGTATTTTAAAGTTAATATAATTACATATATTAGTATTAAATCCACTTAGAATGAAGTTACATATATATATAAGGTATATATTATATATACCTAATACATATATGTATATTTTTATACGTATAATTACAAAAAATAATAAAATAATTTTAAAAATGAAATACATTATATATACATATCTAATTTAATTCTAATTGTATTTTGATATTAATATATATATTGAACAAAAGAATTACACTTAGAATGACATTCTATATATATATCTATATATAAATAAATACAAATAATTGCAAATATATATATAACTATATATAATTACATAAATTTACACGTAAATGCATATACAGGTGATACTCGAAAAATTACAATATCGTGCAAAAGTTCATTTATTTCAGTAATGCAACGTAAAAGGGGAAACTAGTATATGAGATAGACGAATTACATGCAAAGCAAGATAGTTCAAGCCGTCATTTGTCATAAGTGCGATGATTATGGCTTACAGCTCATGAAAACCCCAAATCCACAATCTCAGTAAATTAGAATATGACATGCAATCAATAAAACAAGGAGTGTACATAGAACAATATCGGACCTCTGAAAAGTATAAGCATGCATATGGACTCAGTATTTGTTTTGGGCCCCTTTTGCAGCAATTACTGCCTAAATACATGCCTTCAATACATGCCTTTATTGCCTTGCTGCAGAGGGATTTGGATAGATTGGGGGACTGGGCACTAAAATGGCAGATGAAATTTAACGTAGAGAAATGCAAAGTTATGCACTTCAGGGTTAAGAATGCACAAGCAATTTACACCCTAAATGGTAGTGAACTAGGGATAACCACACACAAGAGGGATTTGGGAATTGTTATAGACTACAAATTAGGCAGCAATATGCAATGTCAATCTGCCATTGCTAAGGCCATGAAAATATAATTTTGCCTCTTTATAAATCGCTGGTAAGACCACACCTTGAATGTGCTGCGCAATTTTGGGCACCTGTTATAAAGAAAGATATCATGGCACTAGAAAAAGTGCACAAAATTGATAAAAGGAATGGAGCATTTTAGTTATGAAGAAAGTTTAAAAAATGTAAATCTCTTTAGTTTGGAAAAACAGCGCCTGAGAGGGGATATGATAACATTTTACAAATATATTTGGTGCCAGTACAAACCATTATCTGGAAATCTATTCATAAACAGGGCTATACATAGGACACAAGGTCACACATTTAGGCTTGAAGAAAGGAGATTTCATCTAAGGCAAAGAAAAGGTTTTTTTACAGTAAGAGCAATAAGGATATGGAATTCTTTGCCTGAAGAGGTGGTTTTGTCAGAGTTTATACAGATGTTTAAATTGCAATTGGATAAATACTGGCAAAAAAATAACATACAGGGATATAATTTCTAATTAGTGGGATAATAGCTGCTTGATCCAAGGAGACATCTGACTGCTATTTTGGGGTCAAGAAGGAATTATTTCCTAGTTTGTTGCAAAATTTAAAGCGCTTCAGATTGGGTTTTTTGCCTTCTTTTGGATCAACAGCAAAAAGTTATGTGAGGAATGCTGAACTTGATGGACGCAAGTCTCTTTTTTCAGCTATGTAACTATTTACTAACTAATACGGCGTGGCTTGGGAGCTATCAGCCTGTGGCACTGCCTCAGCATGTTATGGAAGACCAGGATGCTTCAATAGCAGCCTTCAGCTCTTCTGCATTGTTCAGTCTCATGTCTCTCATCTTCCTCTTGGCAATGCCCCATAGATTCTCTATGGGGTTCAGGTCAGGCGAGTTTGCTGGCCAATCAAGCACAGTAATCCCACGGTCACTGAACCAGGCTTTGGTGCTTTTGGCAGTGTGGGCAGGTGCCAAGTCCTGCTGGAAAATGAAGTCAGCATCCCCATAAAGCTCGTCTGTGGAAGGAAGCATGAAGTGCCCCAAAATCTCCTGGTAGACGGCTGCGTTGACCCTGGACTTAATGAAGCACATTGGACCAACACCAGCAGATGACATGGCTCCCCAAATCAACACAAACTGTGGAAACTTCAAACTGGACTTCAAGCATCCTGCAGTGTGTGCCTCTCCATTCTTCCTCCAGACTCTGGGTCCTTGGTTTCCAAATGAAATGCAAAAGTTGCTCTCATCAGGAAAGAGGACTTTGGACCACTGAGATCAGGTCTGTTTTTCTTTAGCCCAGGTAAGACGCTTCTGACGTTGTTATTCAGGAGCGGCTTGACAAGAGGAATACAACTTTTGAAGCCCATGTCCAGGACCAGTCTGTGTGTGGTGGCTCTTGATGCACTTACTTCAGCCTCAGTCCACTCCTTGTGAAAGTCCCTAACACTTTTGAATGGCCTTTTCCTGACAATCCTCTCCAGGCTGAGGTCATCCCTGCTGCTTGTGCACCTTTTTCTTCCACACTTTTCCCTTCCACATAACTTTCTGTTAATGTGCTTTGATACAGCACTTTGGGAACATCCAACTTCCTTCACAATTACCTTTTGAGGCTTTCCCACCTTATGGAGGGTGTCATTTATGATTTTCTGCACAACTGTCAGGTCATCAGTCTTCCCCATGATTGTGATTCCCACTGAACCAGACCGAAAGACCATTTAAAGGCTCAAAAACCCTTTTCTGATGTTATGGCTTACATGGCTGATTAGAGTGGGACACTGTGAGCCTAGAATATTGCACCTTTTCACAATATTCTAATTTACTGAGATTGTGGATTTGGGGTTTTCATGAGCTGTAAGCCATAATCATCGCACTTATGACAAATCACGGCTTGAACTATCTTGCTTTGCATGTAATGCGTCTATGTCATATATTAGTTTCCCCTTTTACGTTACATTACTGAAATAAATGAACTTTTGCATGATATGCTAATTTTTCGAGTTTCACCTGTATATGTATATATATTAAAATTCTACATGTATATTTATGTAATCTTTTAACATAATTATGTGATTTTATTAATTAAAATTTGAGGGATGTGTCTGACAACCCAGATAGAAAGTCCAGAGAATTTAATTCACAAGTGTGAAGAAAACTACATACTTTGGTTCAAAAACTTAACTTTTTCGGTTTGGTAGATAAATCTACTGAACAACGACCACCCCCCTGGCTCATTAAGTTCAAATAAGACTGCAGGTTGTGGACACCGTTCGGATAACCGAACAACACATGCTGGAAAAAACAGCTGCCATCTTGTCGCACGAAAAGAGGCAGCAGGACTTGGTCGTCGAGTGTCTGGAACTCCAAGTCAGACACTTGATTCTGCGAATACCAGTCAACTTCATGAACGCCTGCTTCTTCTTACGGGCAAACCAGGGGAGCGCTGTTCTGTAGGTTTGTTCGCACAAACCTGGTGAACAAACGCTACCTATGAGCCAGGGGAACTGTTCGTGGTTTTGTTCAGTTTGGGACTGTAGAAATTGTCAAAACTTTACCCTGGTCGCGATTTGGCTGTGTTTGTGGGATCTGAGCACTATTTGGACAACTTGGGCGCTTTTATGGGGGTCCCTATACATTTTATGTGTATTATGTACTTTTAATATTTTGTATTTTATGCCAAGTCATTGTGCCTCAGGAATTTTGTGGGCGTGTTGTGGGAGTTTCTGTGGGCGTGTATAATGTACCTTTGACTTGCATAAAAGCCGGCCATCTGGCCAGAATAAAACATTCCTGTTGTACCCTTCATCTATTCTAGGCTGATGTTTGGGTATGCGAAACATTGTATATTTAACCCCTTAAGGACAGAGTCAATTGTGCACGTTCAAAACAAAAGGTAAACTAAACATGAAATTTGCGCTACAGGTCTGTTCAACCGTAATTCACCTCTTTCATATCAAGTGCACCCACACTTATATATCATTTTGTTAGGAGAAACAAGGCTTTCCTTTTACATCAATTATTCATATATATAACAATTTACTATGAAAAAAATCTAATGCAATAAAAAAAAAAAAATTGTAATCAGTGATGTCTCACAAGTATAACAGTACCCCATATGAACAGGTTTTATGGTGTTTTGGAAAGTTACAGGGTCAAATATAGCACGTTCCATTTTTCTGTTTATACACATTGATATTTGCCAGGTTAGTAATGTTGCCTTTGAGACCGTATCGTAGCCCAGGAATGAGGATTATGACGGCATACCATTTGCAAAAATAGAGAATCCAAGGTATTCAACATGGGGTATGTCCAGTCTGTTTTAGTAGCTACTTTGTCACAAACACTGGCCAAAGTTAGCGTTCATATTTGTTTTTGTGTGAAAAACACAAAAAAAATTATAATTGCTAAATTTGGCCAGTGTTTGTGACTAAGTGGCTACTAAAAAAGACTGAACATACTCCACTTTGAATACCCTGGGTTGTCTACTTTTACAAATGGTATGCCAAGATGGGGTTAATTTTCATTCCTCGGCTACCATATGGTCTCAAAGGCAACATAGGCTCAGCAAACCAATCTGGCAAATTTCAATGCAAACGTGGAAAGCCTTATATTTGACCCCTGTAAGTTTCGAAAAACTCATAAAACCTGTACATGGGGGGTACTGTGGTACTTGAGACATTGCTGAATACAAATATGTGTATTTTATTGAAGTAAAATCTAACAGTATTATGACATTCACAGTTAAAATGTCATGCAGAACTTGAAAAATAATTTTTTTTTAATTTCTCACACTTTTTTTGATATTTTTCACAATCAATTATGTTTCATATATAAATATGAAATATGAAAGTTCTCCTGAACAAAATGATATATAATAAGTGTGGGTACACTTAATATAAAAAAGGTGAATCCAGGTTTCATTTAAAGGACCACTCTAGGCACCCAGACCACTTCAGCTTAATGAAGTGGTCTGGGTGCCAGGTCCTTCTAGGCTTAACCCATTTTTTCATAATTATAGCAGTTTCAGAGAAACTGCTATAATTATGAATGGGTTAAGCCTTCCCCCTAATCCTCTAGTGGCTGTCTCATTGACAGCCACTAGAGGCGCTTGCGTGCTTCTCACTGTGATTTTCACAGTGAGAGCACGCCAGCGTCCATAGGAAAGCATTGTAAATGCTTTCCTATGAGACCGGCTGAATGCGCGCGCAGCTCTTGCCGCGCGTGCGCATTCAGCCGGCGGGGCGTAACGGAGGCGGAGAGGAGGAGGAGAGCTCTCCGCCCAGCGCTGGAAAAAGGTAAGTTTTTACCCCTTTCCCCCTTCCAGAGCCGGGCGGGAGGGGGACCCTGAGGGTGGGGGCACCCTCAGGGCACTATAGTGCCAGGAAAACGAGTATGTTTTCCTGGCACTATAGTGGTCCTTTAAGTTTTGTTTTGATCACAACTTGTACAATTGGGTCCAACCATAACCCCTTCAGGACCGGACTGATTTTGCGATGTTTATACGCTATGGACCAGAGCTATTTTAACACTTTTGTGGTGTTTGTGTTTAGCTGTAATTTTCCGCTCTCTCATTTACTGTTCCGATACAAATTATATATAGTTTTTTTCAGGACAAAAAGGGCTTTCTTTACATACTATTATTTTTATCATGTCATATAATTTAATTTAAAAATAATAATAAAATATGGTGAAAAATTAAAAAAAACAAGCTTTTTGACTTTTATTTAAAAAATCTTTTACTGATCTACAAAATCGAATGAAACAAACTGCTAAATAGATTCAAAATTTTGTCCTGGGTTTAAAAACACCCAATGTTTTTGTGTTTTTTTTTTTGCTGTTATTTGCAAGTTATAGGGCTATAAGTACAAGTAGGAAATTGCTGTTTCAAAATGTACATTTTTCAAATGTATCAATAGTGACATTGTAACACTGCTATGTCATAAATCTCCAAAAAAACACCCCACATGTATATATTTTTCTTAAACTAGATAACCCAGGGTATTCATCTAAGCATAATTTGATACTTTCTATGCAGCCATTTTACCATAAACTTTGCATAGGTAGTTTATTTTTTTCACATACATTGCAATTCAGGTATAAATTCACAGATTCTGTTAGGTGTCATTGCCAAACAACACCCCAATATGTGTTCAACAACATCTCCCGAGTACAGGGATACCCCTAATGTATAGGTGTGTCGGGTTGTTGGGGGGCTAAAAAGCCACATTTGGCAGGTGCGCATATCAGTTTCCCAGCTTGGAATTTTGACACGCCGCAATTGGCTGTTACTATCTGCCTGGGATGTCTGGCAGATAGTTACAGCGTTATAACGGCGGGAGCGATCTTTGATTGCTCCCCGCAGCCCGTTTTTCGCAATGACGGTTCAGGACCGTCAGCGGTCCAAACACACGTTTTACCGCTGACGGTCCTGATGGGTTAAGGATCCTGAACAGGAAAATTTCCATCATTGCAGTCCTGCCCTTATAAGACCACTATAGTGGTCGTTTACCTGACACTATCGGGTCTTTAGTTCCCCCCACCCTTATAGCCCCTCTCCTGCCAGGCTGAAGGGGGCTGAAGGGGTTAAACACTTACCTTTCTCCAGCACCAGGCTCACTCTGCGCTGGGGAACTCTCCTCCTCCTCCCGACATTAGCTTTGAATGAGCATGCACGGCAAGAGTCGCGCACGCATTCAAACAGTCCATAGGAAAGCATTTCTCAATGCTTTCCTATGGACGTCAGCGTCTTCTCACTGTGATTTTAACAGTGAGAAGCGCGGAAGCGCCTCTAGCGGCTGTCAGTGAGACAGCCACTAGAGGCTGGATTAACCCTATTGTAAACATAGCAGTTTCTCTGGGTTATCACTAGATGGACCTGGCACCCAGACCAGTTCATTGAGCTGAAGTGGTGTGGGTGCCTATAGTGGTCCTTTAACTCCTTAAGGACACATGACATTTGTGACATGTCCTGATTCCCTTTTATTTCAGAAGTTTGGTCCTTAAGGGGTTTTAAGGACGCAGGATGGAAAATTTCTGTCCAATACTAAAATTAACCCCAAATTGCCACAATTGCGGCAATCGTGGGGTTAATGTTCCTGTAGTGGGCCTCTGTGTCTGAGGCACACTACAGCAAGGTTTTACTTTCACAGCCCACCTGCTGCAGTGAAACCCGATCTGTCAACCTGCAGCTCCGTGTGAGCTGTTGAGTGCAGGGAGACAGATCAGTACTGATCTGTCTCTCACAGTGAAAAAAAAAATGTTAGTAATAAAATCCCATCCCCCCCTCACCTCTAATAAAATTGAACCCCATCCCTACCCTTTGATCACTGTTTGCAGCGATCAAAATAGTTTAAAATATTTCACTGTGATCTGATTTTTTCTTTTAACCCCTTAAGGTTAACTTTTATTATATTTTTTAACTCTCAGGGGTTACATTTATTTAATTAGTTACTTAAATATTTGTAAAATACTTAATTATTTAGCTAGCATGGGTATAAGTTAGTAGGGAAATTGGGGGATTTAGTGTTAGGCTAGTTAGGTGTTAACAGTAACAAAAACCTTAAAAAAGTAAAAAACTTTTAAAAAGTTTTAACCAAGTTTTAAAACAGTATGAAAAGTTGTTAAAAGCTAAAAAAAAGTCTTTCAAAGTTAAAAAAACTTTTAAAAAGTTTTAAAAAGGGAAAAATGCCTATTACCTCTACACTTGGTGCAGGTTAGCGAACAAATTATCCCACGCTAAGGTTCACAATATGCCTTTTGAAACACCCTGGGGTGTCTTCTTCAGGAAATGAAGTAAATGGTAAAAAGGACCTACTAAAAAAATAACAAAGTGGGGCATTGACCCAGCGTAAAAATTCAAACTTAAATGGCTGTCTCAAATGTGCCCCATCAACGTCGTCATATACCTGGTAAAGGTACATACGGGGGTATTGCTGTACTCAGATGACATAGCTGAGCAACATATGAAGTATTTTACTGCCGTAGCACACATGAGGCTAGCAAATTATATATTACAAACTTGTGTGTGTCAAAAAGCAGAAAAAAATGCTGTCTCAAATGTGCCCCATCAACGTCGTCATATACCTGGTAAAGCTACATACGGGGGTATTGCTGTACTCAGATGACATAGCTGAACAACATATGAAGTATTTTACTGCTGTAACACACATAAGGTTTGCAAAATATATCTTACAAACTATATATTACATACTTTTTGTGTGTCAAAAAGCAGAAAAAATGCTTATTACTACTACATTGTACTACAAGCTAGCAGAAAAAAGATTTCACCCCAAGGTTCAAAATATGCCTTTTGAAATAGCCTCGGGTGTCTTCTTTAAGAAATGGTATTCCTTTGTGGGGTAGTTGGGATAATCAACCTACTAAAAAAACTCCAAAGTGGGGTATGGACACGGCGTAAAAATTCAAAGTTGTGGATGTGTTTTAAATGTGCCCCTTCAACATCCACATATACCTGGCAAAGGTAAATATGGGGGTATTGCTGTGCTCAGACGATATAGCAGAGCAATATAGGAAGTATTATGGACCCGTAGCACACATAAGGTTTGAAAAATATGCAGTACAACTCACTGTGTGTGCCAAAAATGCAGAAAAAACATGTATTACCATAACACTTGGTACAAGCTAGCAGCAAAATGATTTCACGCTGAGGTTCAAAATATTTTTGAATAACCCTGGGATGTCTTCCTTAATACATGGTATGCCTTCATGGGGTAGTTGAAATATGTCGCTTGCTAAAATACTCCAAAATGGGACATGAACACTGTAAAAATTCAAAGATTGAAAAAAAAAAACTGCAATGGCTGTGTCTCAAATGTGCACCTTCAACGTCCACATATACCCTCACTTACCAACATTTAGTGTGCACTCTGCAATTCCCGCTCCGTCTGCAGTAATTTATAATCAACAGCCATACACAACATTTCCATCTCAAACTCACTCACACTACTTGCACTTACAGAGACCTGGCTGTCCCCCTCTGACAGCGCTACTCCTGCCTTTAGCCTATGTTTTGGTGGGCTACAATTCCCTCACACTCCCAGACTCAACTGAAAAGGAGGTGGTGTAGTCTCTCCCCTCAATGTACCTTTCAACCAATCCTAAATGCCCCAGCCCTATCCTTTTCTTCTTTTGAAATGCACACTGTCTGCCTAAACCCACTCCTTTTAGAATTGCTATCATCTGGAATCTCGCCGTCCTCCACCCACCCTGGACCCAAGATCAGGATCCAGCTTCCAGTGCGGTGAACCTCTCCTACTCCAGATAGTATAGCAGGAACAGCTCTTATAAGAGCTAGTGATTAGAATCCAGGGGAGTATAAGGAGTATAGCAATCCCCAGAGTGAATATAGCTGTCCCCTCCACACATGAGACGAGACTCTATGTTAAGGGTAAAGAGGAACTGATATTAATGGTGCCATACTTGGCCTTTTATGACAATCCCCATACAAGGGGCACTCTCACGTGTACCTTGTGGGGAACTCCG